GTTTGCTATCCCATAGACAAGCATACTTTATTGCTTGTTCTTCCCCTCAAAACTGCATTATCCTCTAACTCTCTTCCCAAAAGACGTGGTTATCTGGCGTATGGACTTATCTACTTGTTAATGACCTTACAAACATGCCCTTTCGCAAACATAACTACGACTTCATGTTGGACGATGGATTGGATACACGAATCCCCGTCTACAGTGATGAAGTCTTCAAGCACGGAATTCATTTTTGCGCCAAAGTGAGTGCATCATTTCCTTTTAAATTACTGCTTAACGATAAATTCACAAACTCACTCTTTTTAGGAATATCGTTATCCGATCTTTTGTTTCACACTTTGTAATCCTTACGCAATTCAGAGAGAAACTTTTCGCAACTAGGTCGGCTCCTAGAGGCGATAGCGTCCTAGACTACCTTGTGAGGTTTTTCAGCCTGATACAGAATTCCGTCGTGTCCGGTATGGCGTCCGCGATTGCCATAGCTAAAGAAACTCTGGTAAAACTCATCCGATGAGTAACGTTTTGTCCTAAAACTAACGCACGATATCGCGGCCTCGTAAAAAGAAAGAAGGAGAGCACTGGTGATAGGGGGTTTTTACAGGTGGAGCCGGGAAACGCACAGGCGACGAAGTCGAGTAATTGTTTTCAAGAGAAATGCTATTGGGAATGTGCGGTTGTACTTTGAGTGGTTGAGAAATAGTTGTCCTAACCCTAACCCCTAATCCTAACCTTAACCCCTAACGGGTGCGCTGCATAACCACATCTTACTCAAACATTTATCTACTCCCTACAATATGTTCGGTTGCCCGCCCGTTAGCCAACTCTCCAGGACTTCGGAGTCATTAATTGGGTGACAACCGAAAAAGTCGAAATACACGTACAGGGTGCCTGGCCTTCTTATTTGTCCTCCTCTGTTTAGCACATACTCTTGTCTGAATTACGAAAGGGATCGTGGAAAGCCCTCATATACCCGTAGTTTTTTTGATGATCCAGTTGATGCGTTAACTCCGCATCAAGTATTGGGTCGTGTGGCGATGGTCGCCATCTCAAAAAAGTGTGCGCTGGGATTTTGAAAAGACTTCTTTACGCTGACATTGGGAGGCCTTAGAAGCGCTATAGTTGCGGATACGAGCGTGACCGTTCATCCAACAACCGTGCGCTGACAAGCCCATGATTCCAGCTTGTGATGTCGACAAACAGGTTTTCTCACCAGTAAACTTCCCCAATAAGCAACACCGTGGAAGGAGTGGAATACAGTTATCAAGTGTAGTAATCCGAAAAACCCAATCTTATGGTATGCGCTACGCAAAGGAATCTACACCTTAGAGGCTATCCTTGTTGCTTCGTACAGAAGGCCCGAGTGACATTGAAGCCCACCTTGGTTTACCACCTCACATGGAACATAGGAAGCTGTCTGGGTTACGAAAGCCTGACACTGACACTGCCAAGGAGGACAAAGTAAACGGACTCGGTGGTCCTCAAGGGTCACAAGAAGAGAAGTTGTGTGGGAGATGATTCCGCATTTTTGATGGTCGCTGCCAGCTGCAGCAAGTTGCTATGTCGACGCTAGGCCCCTGCACGAAAACCTCCCCGAAACGGGCGCGTTCAGGAGGTATGTTGGTAAATTATTGAAGCAGGCCTTCTTTGTGCGCCATTGTATGTGCCCTACAAAAATGTGATTGGCTGTCGAGGGAGATATCGCCGAATTTGAGTAACTGTAGAGGTCGCGAGCCAAAAGGAAGCTATTGCCAATAGAAGCGAAGAGACGAGTCCCAGGAAGTAGTCTTGAAGAAGGAGACACGATCGCCGGGACAAGAGCTTTATTAGCCTGACGTTTCGGATTCCTACTTGAATCCATCATCAGAGACAAAAAAGCAGAAACGGGTCTGCTTTTTTCTCTGATGATGGATTCGAGTAGGAATCCGAAACGTCAGGCTAATGAAGCTCTTGTGCCGGCGATCGTGTCTCATTTTTCAAGGAAGCTATTGTTATTTGGCAAATTTTCCGAATAACTCTGTGCAGACACAGTCTACCGATGGCACTGATTCTTCTAAATCACGCCGTTTTATAGCATACATAGGTCACTTGTGGTTTAAAGCGAGAAATGATTGCTCTGCTGTTGAAATTCTTTAAAAAGAGTGAAATATTATTTGTCGTCAGTACTGGTCACTCAGGTTCATATGCATGGTCAGGAGGTCATGCCCAAAAGAGGACAATTTAGAACGGTGTCATAGGCGACGAAAAGAATTTCTGTTGGATCTTCCGTCACAAGTATCCATCAAGCGTGTCGTATCATTGGGATCAGACGATGGTTACAAACCAGTTTAAAACCTATTCGCTTGCGTTTACTTCAGTCATCAATTTATCTTTTTTATAACGCCAGATTTCTCATCTTACAACTGCGTTAACAGCCAATAAATATATTAGTTTGCATAGTTTATCACCCGTAGGATGCTTATATTAGACAATTCTTCTACGAAGGTTTTCCCCGCGTTGTGTCTTATTTATAAGCCCGAACACTGTTCACTAGCCCGTATAACTTCCTCTAAGGACGGCATTTTCGGTTGTTTCTTTCGCAAATCATCAGTTACCTTTAGAAGGAGGCAAACTTTATAACCTCTACTTGGTTAACAAGCACTTACCGGTGAGGAAGAGTGCAGAGCTGGGGATGCATTCTATTAACTATCCCCGACGTTAATGCAATGTAATAAGTAACATGCTGCCTGTATATAACCTGGTAGTTTTATTTCCTAATTACGACTCCGGAGATTGTTGGCGTGAGCGCGGTATTCCTACGCTACTACCACTTGCCGGCTTTCATGTGTAGAACTTCAAAGGCATGGCGCCTGAAACATCGCTGCAGGGTGTTTTTCGCTTCGAAAGTATTCGGAAATGGTCATCAGTCGGAAACTTTCCCGAATTTGTAGCTCTAGAGAATGCTCGTGTCTAATGTGCGGGAATAAATTAACTACGGTCTCTCTACAATGATCTTTCAATAAGTTTACAAGCTACAAAACTCTCTTTTAGATCCTGGTTGCTTGGGAAATTGCATTATCTTCTTGCTCGACTTTTTTAAACCTTGACATTGCCTGAGGAAAATCCAAACTCATTTACAGAAGCACACCACGCAGGTTTTGTGCGAGCGATGTTTCCGTCTTCCGAACAGTCGGGTTATCTGATTCGCCCTCGTGGGAGCTAAAGCACACGACCACCGTCACTGTTGAAAACATTAGCTACAGTAAAGCTGACGAGTGAACTTTTAAAGCGCATTCCTAATGCCCTATCTATTACCGTAGGCTGGTATGTAAAGCTCCTAGCAAGCAATACTGAATTCTATGTTTCAAGAAGACGGTTCCCCACATAAATACAATAAGGCAGTCCATTACACAGTTGAAGACAGCTGCGTATTCCCATCAGGCAAACCCGATGCGCACTGACGTTGCTGCCGATGGTGTAGGTCCAGGAATGGACTTTTTGCTATATACTTCTAATTCTTATACTTCTGACCCTTACTCTGAAATGACTTTGGAAATAGGAAATACTGGGCTAATTTAGTAAAGCTTCAGGGCGAAAGTTACCCTTCGTAGGTGAGCAAAATATGCCCTGACTCAAGCAAAAATTACAGACCATATCATTGTTTGCGTGAGCTGTTGACTTAGCACAAAAACTTGCAAGCGTTGACAATTGACGATGTTATGAATTATTGTAAACAACTCAAGGAGTGTTCGGTTTCCGCCATCCAAGTTCACAGCTTCCATTCCTGAATCGGAAATTTCCCTGAGGGTTCAGTAGGGATTCGAAATAGCGACTTACTATAGAAAACTTACAGGCTGGGAGATTATTTGCATTTGAGCTGTTATATTACGAACCTTCTCGAAGTATAATTGCCTGGCATACAAAAACTGGTCAACAAATCTGAAGTTCTCGGTATTTAAGCGTCTACAGAGGGATTTCAGACGCTGTTCTTCCCTAGGTCTTTCTTTCTAACTATACGACTAACAAAAGGCCATCCTAAATGCATCAACCTAACAAAAACCCTTGGAAATTTTGGCAAATGTGTCCGAAAATAGCGGAGATTGCAATGGAAGATAAGTCAGTGTATATGGTGTCTAACTTCACTTTTTTTCTTCGTTTTGTCTCCAATTGCTTAACAGACTTCCATTTGAGGCGACCGGTGGAGTTCGTCAGTAAAATCCTTGCAGCCATTTGAATTTTATAGACAAACAAGTCAAGCTCAGCCATGCTACACCTGTAAACATTGAAGAAGTCAAAATCGGCAAGGGCACATTTTCGATTACTTATCAGACGCGCTCGTTGATATGCGTCATTGATGGACAGAGGAAGTTGGAAAAGTACTCAAACCTGCCGATTGCAAGGCTGGCGGTCGAAGGAGGGGGCTTATGATTATCCGGACTTGCTAGACTGAGAGATAGGGATTATGATCTGGTTCCGAGGTCGGGGCACAGGGGAAGGGTGGGTTTATACCTTATCACTGTAAGGCGACGTGATAAGATGGGGCTGGAAATAGTTAAGGGCCACCTCGCGTCATGGCACCTCCGATGTTTAAGTGAACTCCTCCTGTGAACAGAACGTTAAGCTGGCCGGCTGTATGGTCACTGCCGCTGAAATTTGGAGTGTATCGCTGACACTTTGCAGATGCCTCGAAATGCCCGAACACCGGCTGTCAGTCAGGAGAGTTATGTTTCCACAAGAGATTAAACTCCAAATTCCAGTTGGGGAGGTGCTGTTGAACCCGCTCGGACCGATACCTGGTCAATGTATCAGCATAACCTGCCGCAAAGAAGGAAGTGCAGGCGTGGATGCACGTCGAACAGATATGAAAGGACAACTCATCCCTACTGTTAAGGTGAAGCATCGGAGTGCTTCAGAAAACCACCTTATGTACTCATCAACCACAACTGAGTCCAAAAAATTAGTTATTTTAAGTCCTGCAGTAGCCGTAAGTTAATTTAATGTGGACGGGCCTAGACTGATGAAAAGTCTCTGACCGGTAGAGCCAGATACGTTGCGAATAATTCGCCTTCCGGAGCAATTTTACTATGCAAATATCCCCTAGACACAACCTAATGAAAACAATTTTTTGAAACCACAGACATTTATCTCATATGACACGAAGAACCGGGGTTAACTTACGGCATGTTGCTTGGAATAGCTAGTTTGTTCTGTTTATAATCGGGTGTGACAAGTTTTTTACTTCTGGGTGAAGTTCTGTGGATTAATCTAACTGTGTGTTTCGGCTTAAGCTTTGAAATTGCTACTCGATTATCCTAAAAGATCACATTTTTAGTTTTTGAAAGTTTAGGCATTTAAAATGCCATATATTAGCTTGTCTCATAAATAGAACTGCAGATGATGTACGTATGGGAAGAATTTACCCTAAAGCCTACATTTCACGGTTACAGTGCGGCAATAAAACTAGGTCTAGTGGGCAAATTGTATCATCAGTCGAGCAAACTGCGCAGGATATTCATTCCATTCGAGCACGGCAGACATTTTGGCGACTGTATGGGAGGGGGGGGGGAAGGGGTCGTGATCTCAATAGGGTCATCGGTATGCTCCAACTTTGCGTTATCTGGTGTGCGCCTCGTTTGGCCAAGATCTATGGGTGTGACGCCGATGGGCGGAGATCGCATTTTTCCGATAGCAACCCCCCCCCACACACTGCGATATGTAATCCTCCTCCATACCCACTACCCTACGCCCTCCTTCGCCTCCCTCTCCCCTCATCCCGCATGATCCGTTCTTGCGGCTACGCAAGTGGCTTCGTTTTCTAATGCTCTCTCTGTTTCTCTAGACCGGTCAGACTTCGCCCCCTGCCAGCCTACAACGCCACCTCCAGTTAACGCGAAAACAGCTCACTCCCATGGCGGCATACAAATGCCCAGCGCGCGTACACACGTCTGCGCACATGCGAAAAATGTGTGTGTGTGTGGGAGCAAAAATTCGTTTGACAGTCATGCACGTGGGGCAGCGGTGGCCATTGCGCACGCCATACGACCGCGATTTGCAGATGAGCAGATATATATATATATTGGAGTGGGTTCGCCGCTGCGATGGCCTACGCCGCCGCCGCCACCGCCACCGCTGCTGCGCACATCTGCGGTATGATAACATCTCTCGCTCCGGTCTTTTTGCCCTCGCAATAACTCAATTCCTGAACACAGGCTCCTGCTCACGGTCCCCGAGACACGGAGGGGGTTGCGTTGTAGGGCGGCGCTGAACCAAAACCCACAGACTTGTATGTGCGGACGGGGGGGGGGAGAGGGAGGGAGAAAATGTGCGTGGATGGTTTCACCATGGCGTCACCTCCCACAAACAGGCAGGCACACGGGCCTGGCGACCGGGAACAGCTAGTAGCACAAAACGAGATTTTCGAGAGACTTCTGCTTCTGCGTAGTCCTTCTAATGACTGCTGGCCAGGTGGACTAAACGCAAACCGCTCTGTTGACGTTTACAGCTTCGCAATAAATCGGTGCTCGCCTGATTTATCAGGATGTACAACTTTGAAGCGACACCCCCATCCCTTATCTGGGATTAAAATGAGGTTTTACTAACGAATGAGTGGAAATTACAGACAACATATATATATATATATAAAATCCTTGACAGCTTTCACTATAATTTGTATGCAGTAGATCTAATCTTAATAGGAGTGGCTCCGGGCACATTATTATACAGTCACCTGCATTTACGGTATGCCGTCTTCCGTAAAATCTTTAGACCAGAGCTGCAAGGCAGAATAATACGTCCTCATAGCAGTTCACTTCGTTGGGTGCTTCCTCTAAGAAGTGACACTGGTCGTCATTGCAAACGCAGGCGATAACTGTTTTACAGAAATTGGCAGCCACACTCGTACCCTAATCACCAGAGACGCGTCAAGCCAGGCCAACGTGGGAGTGGTAGCTAGGATGATTTCCCCATCCCCTTGGCAACCTAGCAGAATTACTCCCGATCAGCGCATCTGCTAAGGTCGTTAAGCGCCCAGATACGGCGTATTTGCAACTAATTTAACTAAGGTGGCTTATTTTCTTCGAAACATTCGAACTCTCTACCTACGCTGCTGGATACTTCCCCGCGTTCTCAAATTACCTTGTAGCTTGAGACACGCAGACTTTGATATACTATGCGTTCTATCTGGGGAGGGCATATTTCCTTCAAGAACGTCCGAAACAGATGTAAGCTCGCAGTTGAAAAAGTATGTGAGACGAAGGAACGAGGTTGTGTAACAGTGTCCGAGCCTCCGACAGTTTGACTGTGTGCTCCACAGCGGGATGAGAGCAAACGCGGCGACTTGTGCGTGAGTTAGTTTACATCGATAGTAGACTTGCAAAGAATCTTCTTCACTCTCTCCTCCTCCACCTGGACCCCGGTGTCAAGACATACTCAAGAGGACCGGAGGCGGTGGGGGATTCAGGTTGAGGGAACGGCCGAGCGTGCACCTAGGCGCACCATCGCACAGCAAAGAATCAGGATTTTAACCGACAACATCATCAACAACTACAAAGGCAGGTGCGGAGGGACAAAAAGAGAATACAGTTACTCTGCCTATTAAGGAGCCCTTCGAGGTATCATTGGCTGGTCCTATCATGATCTAGATGAGTCAGAAGGCATATAAAAGCAGTCAGTAGAATTTCCTAACTCAAGCTGTCAAAAGTATTGACATTGTCTAAGGACTCTTTAATTTACACGAGTTAAAAAAGCTTTCATTAACAGCCATGTGAGGTCAGGTTGGAAAATCCTTCTCTACAGCTCCCCTGAAAGGCAGTACAATGTGCGCCGGTTTAAATATCTGCAAGCATACATAGGTGTACATTTGTGTTAGCATGTCGACAATATCGTCTTCTGATTTTATTTTAGTGCAATCCTGGAGGATGGTTTGCCAGATCAGTTTAAACCCGAAGTCACATTAGTGACGATTTTGGGAGTCTGTGAGCTCCTGCAAAATTACATATGATGTCTTACCGGCAACTTTATATTCCTCCCGTAGTAAAAGAAAGAATTCATGTCGCCTTCGCCTTAGGGACGCTCACGGCTCTTTGTACGTTTTTCCCCACTGATTGTTTTGATTCATATCAGCGTCGAATATGCTGTTTCTCTACCTCAAACTCACCCGGAGGCCGTACTGTCGGCAAAGCTTTTACTTAATTCCTTGGGTACCTTCATCTCGATAAAGTTCGCCTACTCATGACATCTGTTAAGTAGAGGAGACGACCCAGTTGTCGAAAAATTTCCGCATAGAAATTCCACCCTGTGAATAGGCTGCTTCGTTCTGTCCAAGGTTCAAGTGGTAATTTGTCCTGTAGTTATTTAAGTGCCCTCTCTTTCCATCTAATAAAAGATTAAATTTTTATTTGGTCATAATTACCGAAACCCATTTCATCGGCTACGTTGTTTATAAAGTTGTCCTAGTTGACCGAAGCATTGTTTACAGTTTTTCACAAACGTAATTGGCCTTGTGCTATGTTCTACCTGCGATTCGGCTGAAAATTCGGATATTTTGTGAAGTGAGAGTAAAATGTGAGAAATTACACCTAATGCGCTCTGGAAGAAATGTTTTGCCAGCACTTTTCAGATGTGGGACTTAGCCTATTGCTCCCGTATAATGACAGACGTTCAACAGTTTTTTTGAAGATGGAATAATTACCTGCCACTTTAAGCAGCACAAACCTTAACTTAATCTTGATTGAACTGCACGAAACTAAACTTCGTACGATTTTTCCCACATATAAATCCTAAGGATTCCTGCCTAATTAACATTCGCCAGGTGAATGACACCGTCAGTGAGCGGCTTTCTTCTAAATGGCTTCATTGGGCCGGCGGACAAATCTTACGAACAAAAATCTACCTCAATGTACAGTAGGTGGGCTGACTCATGGAATGTCAACCGAAGTTCCGAAATGCGTTTTCGTTTTGAAAAGATTCATCAAGTTGGGATTTAAAACCAAACACTATGCAGCATAACTCCATCCCAATTTACTAAGGATGCCGGCTTTCAAACGAACTTCTTTTCGGCAGCATGCAGGAACTACACTCTGTAAAAAACGACTACTTAAATAGCATGCATTTTTCTCAATGATTTTCGATGCCCTTAAAAATTCAATTATAGTTCGTGGAAAACATGGATAAAAATATTCATTTCTCGCTCATTCGGTAGATAATTACGTATTATTTCAATTTTATACTCGAAGGAGGCACTTAATTTGGTTTAAAAAAGTTTATAATTGTGGAACTTTTAAATACCGTGAAATGGCCTTTCATAAATCTTCATGTTCCTGCATCCACTAATGTGGCTTGTAAAGTTAACAATATGGATCAAATCCACTGCTAAATTTTATGAACCCTATATGAGCTCCTCTTAATACCGTTGAGAAAGATGTGGTTTTCCGTACGCGAAAAAGATACGGCTTGTAGTTTGGAAACCCTCAATCCAAGTGTGACGCTAGAGCGGGTTCAAAATTAATCGGGGATTGGAAAACGTTGTTAAAACCGGATTATGTCCTTCCTTCGAGTATAAAATCGGAATAAGACTGCATAATCTTCTTGTTTGAATGAACAGTACGGAAGTGCTGTGGGAACTTGTACTTCGCTGTCCAAATAGTCGCTTGCTGTGCGTTGCGGTGCTTTTCCTGAAAAATCAGTTTCTGCCATATAAATACGGCCTGTGTGTAAACACCTACGGCCCTTTTGGAGACGCTTGGCGTAAATCCTACAAACTGATATGGAATCAAGTATGAACTTTACATAAAGAGCAAAGGACTTGAATTTCAACGCTGTGGAAGGTTCTGCTGACTGTTGCTCCAACACTCAGTAGATTGTTAATACATATTATGAATTTCTTTTCAATAAATTATCCTCTAATTCAGTAAGGCTGTATTATCGGCTAGGAAAACTCCCTTTTAATTCTGCCCTACTTTTCAGATTGCTCATTCATCGCACTCCCCATCAGGAGTGTCGTAGATGTCCTAAAGTTCGAGAAGACTCAGGACAAACAGCCAAATGCGCAAGTTGGTCCATGGGGCCGTGTGTAAACCACCGCTTACAAGGGGGGTGAAGCTTGCATCCCCCCTCCCGGGGGAGGGAGGTGAACATAAATCTTTAATGTTCCAGACCGATTTCTGCGTGCTGTTTAGCGTGAACCAAAATATTTTGGTTGGAAATGGCTGTGTAAGCATCTCGTCCTTCGTCCGGACAACACATCCCTGCCCAATGCCTAAAGATCCCAGAAAAAAATACGATTTTCCCACTTTGCCAAATTTAGAGCCCAACGTTTCCTCGCTTGAAAGGTCCCATCCGCAAAAACAACTCCTCTCATATTACAGGTGGCTATGCATCATAGTTTACGGGCAGAAAGTCAGTGTAAGCAAGCATTCCCGACCAGATATTTAGCAACTTCTCGGGCGAACCGCCAAAAACGGCTCTTAGAGTAGAATACATTACCGAAAAAGACACAGAGAACGGAAATAGCCGTTTCTGACTTATGAGTCGTCATCAGTCGGCCATTTGCAGTCACTGGGTTTTGTCACTCTTGAGGCCCTATTCCGCGACCTGTTGATAAGGAGACTGACGCCACAAACACTGAACCACTGAGCTGTTTGTCCTGTTGGTCATGATCGGGCATATTAACGCTGGTAGAGGGGCGCTCACCGATCGTTCCTTCGCGCTTTCTCTCACTCTCGATACCCGCAAGCATCCGCATAGAGGCACGTAATATAGGAAGAATAGCGGCAAGCGTGTGGTATGTAACCCTCTGGACAAACCGTAGTTAATTAAGGAAATGACGCTAACCACGATCATGCCCGTAATGGGTAACCCTAACCCTTAACCCGTAAGCATTTAGGGGAAACTCGAACGTAACCGCAATCTTAACCCTAAGTCCTAAATCCGTAACTCAAATCCTTAAGCCCTAGCCCAAACGCTTAACCCCGATTCTTAACCCCAACCGTCGCCTAAACCGCAAATGCGGAATATAACCCTATCTCCATTCGTATCTTAAGCCCTATCCGGGTAAATATGACGTCAGAAACGCTAGTGAAGTTCAAAATCTGAGGACCGCATGATTCATTTGCTGAATTTTTCCAAGCAAACCGTTACGAACCACAGAATAGCCTTATCGACAAATGCAGTTGAGACTGGAGTGACAATTTCTGGTTGATTAGCCGTCGTCAGCCGATCACATCCAATCCCAAGGTGTTGAACGCCTGGGGCTCGATTCCGCGAACTGTTGGTTAGAAGTACAACGCCCCTAGCTACTTGACCACGGGCCTGTATTCTTGTCAGTTGTGATCGGAAATTTACAATGGTAGAGGGGAGCTCACCGGTCGCTCTACGGGGACTTACTCGTCCCATTGTGCCTTGGGGCTGCATCATACCTACCTAAATAAGATTAGAAGGTCAGGTTTTGAAAAACCACTCAAGGGGCTTACATACCCTATCCTTACCAGAATAGCATTGACGACAAAGACAAGAAAGAGTGTCGTCCAGCGTGTTATCCAGAGCGTCTTTCACTGCATACTCACAATCCATACCATATGCAGGCAGACGTCTGAGCAGGGCTGTTAATAAGTCCTGCTTTAGTGCAGGGGATGCTCTGCAGACCGTGTGGACAGTTATCTGAGTTACTTGCCAGTCCCTGGAGAACGGCGTGGACACTGCCGGTTCATCTTTCCGGGACAAAGAGGTCAGCTGTTAGTCCACATCTTTGCTTCCGTCTTTTTTCCCCGGTTACGGGGGCGGGGGGGGGAGACTTGCAGCCGAACAACTCCCTTTCCACGTTAGGACAGGAGGCAACACGTGAACGGCGGGCAGTGTACCTTCTCTCGTCACGCGAGAAATTACGTTCGGGCGTGCGAATCCAGCTTCTCCGCCCGCCTGCTTCTCCGTCACTCTTGCACCTAAGCAGTTGTCTTCCTTAGAGACCTCGCGCAGTAAGGGCTGAGAAGCGAAAAGAATAGGAGGAAGAGGAGCAAGAGAGGGAGGTGAGGCAGGAAGAGGAGAGATGTAAGAAGTACAGACAGAAATAAAATAAAAAATAAAGACGGCACGCAGGAGTGAAAAGAGAGAGAGTGAGCGAGTACGATCGCGACTTGGTCGGCAATGTTTATTGCGCGCTTCGCTTGCACAGCAAGGACATGTCCTCCACCCCCTCCCCGCAGTGCTAAGAGACGTCAAGTCTCGTGGTCTGGCCGTAACGGGGCCGGTGGGATTGAAGGAGAGAGAGCGGGCGAGGTTGGGAAGAAAATACCTGCAGTTGGGTAATTGAGAACAAAAGCTCCTCTGTCCTGCCCGCATAATTAATGAGATATGAAACTCGGACGGCGGATCGCCGACGGCGATGGAATGTGCTTCGCTTCACTGACTCATCTTCGAAACCGTCTGTTCCGCAGAAGCGAGTGACGGAGGGCAAGACTGGCCTCGCTCTCAAGCCTGAGTTCTACTCACAACCTGCTTCGCCTACTTGTGTGATGGTTTTTATTGAGTGATAACTAAGCCAATGAAAACGTCTCTCTCCGGGGACTATTCAGCTGAAGATGAGTGTTGGTGAGGTAGTTCTTGTCAGTTATATTGGCGCTAAATTTCTCATTAGGCCAGCTATCGACTTCACTCTTCTCAGTTCTTCTTCAATGTAGTGTTCACTTTGTAAATAAAGTGAAAGCATTTGTGTTCCTGATGTCATCTGTGTTGCAAATGTTTGGAAACGAATTCTTAAAATGCTGCAGTATATTGCTGTGCACCTGAATGATGGTTCAAACGATCTTCTGATCTCCAGAGTGGATGAGGTTTATCATAATGGTGTTATAGCACAGCTGTCGACATAAAATAACCATTCTTAGATTTTTAAAAATTCACAGTAATCTATACGACTATGCTTAGAGTAATATACGTACGCTAGGTGGACTAACTCCTGAAATGTCAGTCAAAATTCTGAAATACGTTCTTCTTTCAAAATAATTAATTAAGTAGGGTTGCAAAACTAATCATCTTGCGGCATAATTCTATGGTATGTCAGTTATCTCGAGATGCCGGCTTTCGAAAGAACTTCATTCCGGCAACACATAACAACCATAATCTGTAAAAAATGACTACTTACGTGTTATAAACTTTTCTTACCGATTTTCGATGCCCTTAAAAATTTGATTATATTTTATGAAAAAAAACGCATACAAATATTCATTATTTTGCTCATTCGGTAGAAAATTACGTCTTCTTCCAATGTTATGCCCGAAGGAGGGTATAATTCAGTTTTGAAGGAGTTTCTTACTGTAAGATTTTTAATATGAATAAAAGGCTATACATAAAACGTCATGCCGCTGCCTTTACCGATGTGGCTTGTAAAGTTAACACTACGGCTCATATCCACTGCTAAATTTTATGAACTCTGTATGGTCTCCTCTTAATACCGTAGAGAAATGTATGGTTTTCTGTACGCAGAAAATATAAGGTTTTTAGTTTGGAAACTCTGAATGCAGGTGTAAAGGCAGGTCGGTGTTCAAAATCATTCGGGAATAGACGAACTTATTAAAACCGAATTATACGCTTGCTTCGAGAATAATATTGGGAGAAGACATAATTTCCTACCGAATGAACAAATGGATGAATACTTTCTGCATGAATTCCATAAATTATAATTGGATTTTTTAAGGACATCGAAAATCAATGAGAAAAGCTCATGCTATATAAGTAGTCATTTTTTGCAGAGATTGGTTCTTGTGTGTGACCGGGAGAAGTTCGTTCAAAAGCCGGCATCTCGAGGTAACTGAAATATTATAGAAGCATACTGCACTATGATTAGTTTTAGAACCCTACTTAATTAATCATTTTGAAACGAGAAAGAATTTAAGATTTTCGGTTGGCATTTCATGAGTTAGCCCACCTGCCGTGTATATAGGGCATACATTCTGAGTAGGCTAAAGTTGAACTTGTTTACTATCTATTAATATCTGAACGTATTTTTTCGAGTCCTTTGACTATAAAGGACATGAAATCAGCTCATTTAGAAAGCTGATACCCCTAGGCATTTGAAACCAGTTTGACGCATATAAGCCGCCCACGTAGAACACGACAACTTTGAAGTCTAGTAGGTTGTTATTTTCCAAATGAGAATAACACTATTCTCGACTTGGAAGGCCATCTCGTAATGATACGTGGAAGTATCTAAAACAATCAAAAGCGACAACTAGAGACGCTTTTGATCAAAGGTCAGACAAAGACCCCGCAAAACCATGTGTCGCCCTTGAAAAAATAGGGACTTGGACAATTCCTGGAAGCCAGCTGGAATGTCCGGTCTGGTGATCGCTACCGACAGTTCGACCGTCGATTTCGATGATGTCCACCGTGTGCCCCACAGACTGCATTGCTGGAGCAGGGGCGGTGACTTACGCAGGGGTTTATAGTGACAGTAGACTTGATTCTACCTACGCTCTCTCCTCCTCCCCCGCCTGAGCCCGGTGTCAAGGCCAAGTCAAGAAGACCGGAGACGGGGGAGGCCGCAGGTGGATGGCTCGGACGGATCCTCAACTTGGCGCTCCACTCCGCACCCCCTGGTCCACACACAAATGACCAGGCTTTTGACCACAAAACAGTGGGGTGGTGGCAGTGGTCCAATTGTGCGACGATTGCCGACAACAGGGTCTGCCAGCGCACCCCGCAATTATTGGCATTTGTTATAGCGCACAGATAACGCCTGCCAGAGTACGATGTAACCCCCGTGTTGGTCCAGCGCATTTAACACGTGGTCCGTTTAGAGGGCATGATCGCTACCAATAACTATAAGAAACCTTTCAATTCCTCCAAATCAGGCCAAGGTGGTGCCAACCTTGTCTGATTGCAATTTCGTTTTGTCTTCGAGCTGCCCAAGGACAAATGATTTCGTTTCGAGGTCTAATAAACTAGCGGATAAAAATGTCATCGATACGTAGACTGAGAGTAAACAAGTATTTGCACCGGGATTTTTGGCCGGTGAACGCTTTTTAAATCTTGCACAACCCGATGGATGAGCACTCTTCATACGACATCTAGTAGTCCCGACCGGGAGCGAGAGTCATACAGGTCCCTGAATCAATGGCAGAAATTTAGACTTCATGTTCAGTGAACGCGGGGTCCAGGCTTGAAACTCAGACTATTTAAACCGGGTTTGGTTATGTCTGACTGACGATGGCTGGTAAATCAGAAAGGGGTCATCTCAGTTTCTTTTGCTTTTGTCAGATTAAGTGCTACCTCACTGGTTGCTTCTCGCCATGCGTTCGCCTGCGACGGTTTGTGTTTTAAATGCCAAAAAGTGACTTAGGTCGGAAAGAAGTACAAATTCTCGTGCAGTATGGTGCCGAGCAATTTCAGCCATGTTAGGTTGCTGGTTTCTACAAAAGCTTTATTTCGGCCGCCCTTATAAATTTAGACTGCTTTTATTAGAGATATGCTCAAAAATGTTCTTTCTCGTGGAATTTTCGTTTTTATCTACTTCCATTGCTACTTCCCTTTCCACCTAGTTCTCTCTTTTATCGTGATTTACAGTGGCTAGCCAGCCCCATTAAAAGTTAAAGAAATTCTGAAAAGTGTTCAGTATGACAGGATTAGTTAAGTAGGACCTTAGTACTGGATATCATGTGGCATAATCTCACACTATTTCAATCATGCTTTTTGAGTGAACGTCTTTGTGACAGCCTGAAAAAACTACACTTAGCACACAATGGCCACTTAAGATGTCTAAATGTTTTTAATTGGTTTTCGTTGCTCTTGTGAATTTGAATAAATTTTATAGAAGATATGTACAAATTAAACATTTGGCAACAAATCGCATCTTTTTAAGTGCTATACTTGATGAAGGAATAGTATTCGTTTTTAAATTTTTTTTCATTTCCCAAGTAATTTCCGACTCGAAATGCCGTTACACCTGCATTCGCGGTTTCCGAACTACAAGTTGTATACTTTCTGTATGGGGAAGATCACACATTTTCATATGTTATTAAGAAGACGTTATAGAGGGCTCATAAAATGTTGCAGTGCATATGGACTGCGTTGTCCGTTTTATAAGCAGCATTAATAAACGCGATGACGCAATACAATATAATAAAATCTCATAATTGGAAACCTTTTTAAAATCGAGCAGCACCATTTCTTTCAAAATAAATCTTACAGGAGACGTAATTCTCTGCCAAACAGGTGCGAGAAATAATGCTTTTTGTGTGTCTGCTGTAAATTACATTTGAATTTTTAAGAAAATCGAAAACCAATGAAAACTGCAGTGCTACTCGAGTAGTGTAGTTTTTGCGGGCGGCTGGAAAGAACCATATTCAAAGGCCGGCATCTTGACATGACTGAAATATTATGTGATTATCCTGCACGATAATTAATATTACACCTCTAGATACATAATCCCCTCGAATGCCAAAAAACATTTCATAATTTCGGTTAATTTTATCATGAGATAGTACATCATGGAGTCATAATTTGGCAACCAGCTGACTCGGTTTCATAATTCTAGCTGTCACTCTGGCAGGCTGATGTTACTACTTAATTCAAAAATTAGCACCTTACTGTGTCCCATTCATGTCGGTGCTCCTTATTCAAGTTTACTGCAAAAGCTTTTGTTGGATGTCGATGGTGTCAGCAGCTCGGGTGTAGAACTGGAACATTCACCTAAAGTCTCCCTTAAAGAACTGTAAACGCATGGTCATAGCGGACGGCTAGTTTACTATGCCGAGGCTATAACACGTGCTTGCATAGTGGAACTGCCAATAATCCCAAAAAGGGCCAGCCACTCCAAGTAAAACAGGACTGCCTTTTCCAGCTACAAACGGCGTTCTAAACTGTCAAACTTTAGCTCAAATCCTGCGATTCCAAAGATTGCCATAATTTTGTGACTAAAAGCATGCGACATTTTTTTAGCCTGGCATTTTTGTCCGGTTCGGCTGCCAGAAAAGGCTCGGTAATTGGACTTTTTTCCTCTGTTAAATTCCTGTTTGCAGCTTCGCGTGTGCGTGTTAGACTTGCCACGGACTGCGTACTGCCTGTCTACCTGCTTGATGTTCCCTTGAGTCCTAACAGCGGAAACGCTCAAACTGATAGGCCCTCTTTTTCAACAGATTTGAATCAGTCGCATAATGCAGGGAAAGAGATAACTGTCTAGTTTGCATTCGCTTGTCAAGCTTTTTCAATTTCTTTAACCACCTTCTTCATATGCCCGTTTGTAGCCCTCAATCCACTTAGACTAAATTGCCTGTTAAACGCTTCAACCACCTGATTTCATTTTAGTCAGTAATTGTCTGTTTAGAGTGTCTTTCATTTGGACATTTAAATGCTGTATATATTCTCCGTGTATAACACGCCTAAAGGACTTCTTTTTGCGTCGATTACCTGTTTGGCTCCCAGGTCACAAAATAGTCTGTGCGGCTTGTTCGGAAACTTTTCAAAATAGATGCAAAATAAGATATGTTTGGCTCAGCATGGACCGAGACTTGTACGCGATGACGCAACTTTCCGCGATTTATTTCCAGATGTCAGCGACTCACGTCAGGTTCTCGTTTAATTACTCAACCCTTGGAGATGAGGAAATAAAACAAAGTACATTTCGACCATGCCGATCCAAGAAATATCCGCACATTTTGTAGTTTTGCGTTTGAACATCTAGCTGCAGCATTGTTTGTCATATGCGCAAATCTGCCAGTTATCATGATGACTATAATATTTGTCAGCACGATTTGAACTAGAATATGCATGGGCCACCGAAAACTTTACATCTACAAGCGCGATTACTTCATGCATTCATGGATCACTCTTATGGAAAAGTAACATTTTTGCAAGCCTCTTTTTGGCGTTGCATTACAATTTACGTGAACCTTGATAGCAACTCCCGGGGCATATCCGGATGGAAAATTTTCTGGTTCTATGAGACTTCTGAAGTTGTTTCACTAGACTTACCGAAAGGATGTGATGTCTTTTGTCCCTCTCTCTGTCTTCGTAGTTCACTTAATAAAATAAACTACGGATGTGGGAAGAAATTGACATTGAGAACCCAAGAACTTGATCAATAAACCCTTGACCAGCGTGTGAGTCGTGTCGCATGCTAAACATAAGCTTCAAATGAGTTTATTTAGTAATTAATTTAGAAAATGAGTTATGTGATTAGTGCATACTTGATAAATTACTCAGAATAAGTAAGCTAAGTTAAAGGGCAGAGAGGGGCATTGCATCCCAAGGTTAATGAAAATTATCGTTCTGTCTGTTGCATACATCGCCATTGGGGCGCGGATTCTTTCACGCTACTTCGTCAAGTTGCCTAATAAAATCCACCGCGACCGGCAATAATTGGGCTTATATGGTAGTGGTACTTACCAGTCTCTGTGATTCGCCACGAGGACCGAGGACCGGATCACCGGATGGAACGTAACCCCGGTAATCTGTCCTAATAATCTCCGTTTTCACGTAACATTGTATGTAAAAACAGCATTCAAAGGATTTTGGAAGGAGATGAAGAGCTGTTTTTTTACAAAAGCATCCAAATAGGTGGCGCATGCCAAAGTTTGTTTTTATTCTTCTGAATACTGGAGAGAATTCGCAGTTCTTACACATACGATGGGAACGCCGAGTACTTCAATAAACACTTTTGTACACGACTTCAAAGACTTTCTGCAAAAAAGTGTGCAGACCTGAGGAACCACATTCTGCCCAAATGAAAACTTCATTTAAGACAAGCCGAAAACTGATAAGTATATGCGATCACAAGAACAGGAACTTTCTTCGCTTGGCGTTTCGGATTTACACTCGTACACATCAGCAGAGGCGGCGTCATGTACGGGTCACCGTAATCTGTGAACCGTTTCCGTAGAAAGATCAAACAAGCTCTGGGTATTTTGAAGATGGGGAAAAACAAACGCTTTCACCTAATTTCTTTTTCTTTACACACGACTGGCGCAAAATGAAGGTTTTTTGGTCACTATTCATATTACTTACGGTAAACCAATTACGCACTCGGCCAAATCGCATTTCAGCAGATTTCATTTACTGTCTTTGCGAGTGGTCTTCTCCTCCGGCACGTAATCCAATTGCTTGAGTTATTGGGAGAGGAGCTGTAATTGAATTTGTGTGTACAAATACGAGTAAAGGACTGCCAACTCATCTACTCTCGCGCACCGTCTAGCCTCCAGCGATGTTCCTAATAAAATTGCAAAGGTAGATCTCAGCTACTACTGATATTTGAAAAGCAATTTCATTACCCCATAATTTCATTCATTTTCCACTTCTAGCGGTCCTCAAGCATCAATCTGATTGTCCCAAAAATCGGACAAGCAGACATTCCAGGTTAGGTTCAGAGAATTGGATGGAGTTTGGCGTCAAAAACTACGGGACTGGTAACAACTGCTAGTTGAATGCGTACAGCCGAATGACAGAAAATAGGCAGAAGTGGTTTTGAGCTCCCACGTTATTCGTTTTCGTTGCATTGAGTGTTCGTGACATGCCAAAACAGTGCTAAGGGTAGCCCCAAAAGTTTCCTAGCCGTGTCATTATCAGTTTCAGAAATTATTCGGTTTTCGACAATAACGGTGGACTGATCTACGGCTAACCCTGAATATAAAAAGCAGTCGAGTGCCTTGTTGGACTCTTTGTTCCTTCAATGGTCCGATGAACCGATTATTTGCGTCGCAAAATCGTGCGTGAAATTAGGGCTATCGGAAAAGAACATGCATCAGTCGGGTTCTGCAGTAACTTTTGTATGTCTCATAAGTCGTGTTGTGGTATTGAACAGTCAAAAGCTTTTCTGGACAGACACGTATCTGTCACTGTCTCTGATAATGGGTTCGAGCGTGAATCCGAAAATTCCAGGAAAGCTTTTGACTGTCCAGTATCCCAACACGACTTATGAGGCATACAACAGTTACTGCACAACCTGACTGAACTGCAGTTACGGCAAATAAAGCTTTTGTTCCAGCGATCACTTTTACCGACTAGTTCCTGGAAATCGCATCTTCGCTTGTATTGGCCTTTGTGGACTGTATGGTATCGCTCCAGTTGAAACAATTCCACTCGAAAAGATGGCATTTGCAAGGGCTGTGTTCTGCAGTTTTTCTGAGCAAAATTCCCTGACAAAGCCTACTATTTTCCTCGCCTGTTAAATTCCCAGTTGACACCGCAGCTGAAAATCTAGCTTGAGAAAGCACTGATACCCGTTAGCTTCTAAATAAGGCCTCATGGGTACGGACAAATGATGATCATTTGCTAAAAAAATGAATACAAGAAATAGCATTGATGTGCAGGTGTTCAGAAAAATATGCTAAAGTGTATAAATGCCTCAAAAATCACCGGTAAAAATCCATACTGATTGGGCAGTCATTTTTTAGAGCGTGGTTCATGCGGAAAGCCGGAACGAGGCTTATTCAAAGACCGGCTTCCTGTCGTAACCGAAATATTTTGGAATTATTATGCAGAAGCATTAATAATATAACACAGCTTAAGTAGTCCTGTGTAATACAGAACCAATTTACCAATTTTAGTTGACATTTCATGAGACAGGCCAGATACTGTGCACACACTAACAGTGGGAGTCTAACCCACATATTTAATGCGCTAATGGGCAGCTGGCACTTTCCGCGGCAAACTGCAATTTGTCATGCGACATCTGTAGGCTGGCGCTGAGAACCGGAGTCATGGGAATGTGAAAAATTTAATTGGCGACTGCCTGACAAAATAGCATCAGCCACCTGGGCTGATTTGTTCTGTCAGTTATAGCAGACTTTTCTTTGAGAAAATATTAATGCCTGTAAAAATATCATCTGCTCGAGTATTTAGCTTCTAATTAGAGATTGCTGCTTGGATTCTGAGGCTAGAAAATCGTCCCCTTTAATTTTGGTAAAAGGTCCCATCTAGGCGGTAGCCAGTGTGTCAGGAGACTCGGTGAAACATTAAAAGCGCCCTGCGATGCCACATACTAGGTCTGCGTCTAAACCAATATTTTAATTTCTCTAATGAAAGGCTGGAGGACATCTTCTAACCGTACGACTCTCCTTGTGGTTCCATTGTAACCCACTATTCGGGAAAAACTTCAGCCGAAAGCGTTCATTGAGGCTATTCATAGCAGAATATGCGCGTCCATACCAATTGGCTTAAAAGAAGTTTCTTTGGCAGATGAAAATTCTGTCATATTTGCATTTGGAATTTTGAAGCGTCTCCGAGTACAAAACTTGAATAAAACTGGCTCGTTTAGTTTCGCTGTTTCACCAGAAAATTTACCGTTTTCTAAAACTTTCTAGGAGTAAAAATTCCAAAAAATTGTAAGGCTATAGGAATCAGTAGTTGGACATTTGCGAGTTACCTGTATGTAGCTGCTGATCTTTGGTACTGTGTGCAAATACAACCAGTAATTGTCTGAAGACTAAAAGAAATAATTGTTAAGTGTGTCATGGTCTTTAAAGACGCCTCTCAACTCCCTAAATAGCTGTATGCCATTTAAATGAACTGAAGCGCGCATTGAGAATCAAAATCCAGGGACACTCGGGGAAAATATGGTAGCTAGCTACATCGAGACTGATTTACTGTAATTCCATCACGTGTGCCCGTCAAAAGTCCAGGTATGTGCTTTGCCGATTTCCTGACGCTACACGATACAGTCCAGCAGTCGGCCAGTATGGTATCCTGTAACCTGTTACATGGAAATGCATCTAATTCTGAAAAAGCGCAACTTTCATCAAATTTGACTTGGTATACACCAGAAAATAGAAAGAAGCGTTCAGGGGAACCGGCGATGAGACGGATGCCTTGCAGAAGTATTATTTAAATAAGGCCAAAAAATTGACAAAATTCACCTGAAAGTTTTGTTGGTACATGAACCGTAAAAATGGTAAATTACTTCTTAAAAGACCGTTCATGAATCTGTAAATGAGGCGTGATCTTCAATTATGCCTTAGTGCTCGGTTTAGAGCCCTCACAGGCTGTCGCATAACAATGGATATTGATGAAAGAAGGAACATCTACAAGAACAAGGGAGAACGAAATAGTCCTTTCTGATTAATTAGTCGTTGTGAGCAAGCCATAGCCAATCCCCGGTTTTGGATCGCCTAGAATTCGAACCGGAATCCTTTGATCATGGTGTGTTTTTTTAATCCAACGTTCTCCTCTTGCGTCACGGCTCGTTTCTGCTGTGTCGGTTGAGATTACAAATATTCGATATTGTCAAATGGTCGTTTATTGATCAGATTTGGGACATTCTTGCACCCTGTGTCTAACAACGGGTCTGACAGAATAAGCCATCTGAGTCTCCATTGTTTTTTTTGTCGGGAATACTCTTGCATCGGTACTCTCCGCTATACGACTGCCCAATGACCAGAGATTCCGTGGTCGGAGCCCAAGTTGTCCAAACTTTGTGTCCATAATGATTGACTGACGACTGCTAATGAAACAGAAATGGCCATTCTATTCCCCCTTGTCTTTGACCGTATTTCTTACTTCCTGTATATATATTCAGTATATTATTGCCGACAAAGACAAGGGAGACCGGAACGAGTGAGTTCCGTAAGAACGGTCGGTTAGCGTCCCCTACCATTATATATATATATATATAGGCCAGTTATTCGGTTTGCGTCCATTCATGTCGGAATAAATACCCAATCTGCAGAGATAGATAACGGCCGGTGACCAGTCACTGACATACTTTAGTTCGATGAAGTACGTATGACCAATCTGCTAGACCCCGTTCGTGCACCATCTGCGGCCTGCACAAGTTTTAGTTTGAGTTTTTGGTCCCAGCTGGTTGTCAGGGCTGTGAGTGGCTGGGCAAAGACAGAGTAAGCCCGAAACAGTACTGTACCATCTTATCATTTTCGATATGTATATATCGTGAATGTGTGGTTCATCGATCAAATAAACAACCTACAACTACAGAGAAATTTTAGCAACCAAGACAATGCAAACTGGAGCGATAATTTCTAGTACTTTTGCCGCCACAGCGATGTTGGGTGTTGGCCTACGCGAGGTTTGCGCCTGATTTAGTGCGTCATTGAACCTTTAAATCATACATGAGACATCAGGCTTGCTGTTCACTGAGTTCGAGAATATACAAAGTTACGTGACGGTGGCAACAAGCGGTCTGCGTAACAAAACGAAGATTTCAATTCCGGCATGGAGCTGCTGAAGTAGACCGGGCCGGGGATGTCCGACACATGATAAGCCCTTCTGCGAGAGTTGTTCTGACAACCACCGAAACGAACAAAAGTCATGCCGTTATTTGAGTCAACTGTGATTTCGTACTGCAGATGACGCAAGGCAAAACTGACGTACTGCCAAATGAAGCCTGCCGAGCCGATTATTTTCCCTGTAACTTCGAGTAAGTTCGCCAGACTATGTCCGGTTGTCTCTTAGAGTTCTTGCAGGGTAATTTGCCACATGAAGGAGGCATTCTCTCCAGTATAAAGTCGGTTGCTGATCTTCTGAGCACCCCTGAACTTTATCAATGTCAAGGTCATCCGGTGGTAGGTGCACAGAGCCTACTACGAATCACAGTGACAATCGTTCTGCATGGTGGCTTTAAGCCCCACCTGATTCCACGTCTAAATCTACGTCTTTCTCGACTTTTTTGAGATATCTGAGGAAGGAGAGGATGCGAGTGGTGTCACGTGTAAATCACCAGGATACCCTCTCCGGTATAGCCACAGTGCTTGTGAACTGCGACTGTTGAAATAACGAACCGGAAGATTACCGCAGAGGTACAGCGATCTATTCTGACCGTGTGAATGCGGGCGATCCCGTTCTGTCATTTGAAATGAGAGCCAGCAGCAGTCCAGTTATCGTTTGATGATTGGTCACAGCCAGTCATCGGCCAATTTTCCGGACGGTGGCCCGTGGTGCAGTGTGCATCCGCCTCAGGTTCAAACCTTGCGTTTGCCCGTATGTGGGTTTGGCTGATGATGGCAAGTAAACGGGAATCGGCCGTCCCCGTCTCGTCCTCGTCATTGACGGCAAGGAATCGTCGATTTTTGTCTGCTAGTCGTCACGCAACACCATCGCTGGCTGTAGATACGGACCAATTTCCGCACTGCCATCAATATAGATCGATAGATGCCACGCCACGTACGGCTGATCAGAAGAATGAGTTACCTGTCTGAATTCCGTATGAATGTCATTCTTTTCACGGCAGGAGAAAGGGGTTCCAGAACGCAAAAAACTGCTCAATTACACTGTTGTGATGAAGACTACGAAACGTGGAACCCCACACCTCTGGGCCGTGTGAGTTCGGAGGTGCAGCGTTGGAATCGTCAAAACCAAACTGAAGTTTGTTAAAGCTAGTGAAGATAACAACTTGCGGCAGATGACTCAAGGCTTCAAGAAGGCAACTTGGAAAATGGCGCGCACGAATGAAACGCAAAAGGCCGAACTTGAACCGGCAGCGGCGGAGTGGTTTGGCAGTGTGTCTTTGTAGTCCGAAAGAAAACTTGTTTCTAACAAAGACGTCTGTTCTTCACAGTACAGCTGAAGCTGTTTGGAGCAAAATGTAGGTGACTGCGGACACGAATGGACTCAATAGAAATGTTTGTTTATCTTTTAATGCGCGGTTTGTGCGTCAGTGGAGTGCCAGAGGTCTTGATTCCGATTTCCATTCCGTCTCCAGTACTCTGCGTGATGTGGCAGTAAGGCATCAACCCTGAGACTGGCAGCATCGTTGACTGGTGCGTGTAGTTGTGGTGGCCGCAAGTACTGAGATGAATGCTGCGCTGTCCGATTTCGGACGCAACATGAGCATGAGCTACTGGCTTTGACGTCAGGAGTTGGAATTGCAATGAAAATGCGCGCCATGTCGCAGTGACCGGGGTGAGGTTGCAGATCGGACACATGTGCGACGTGATCCTGTCCTTTTTTCTGTACTATGAAGTGGTGACGTTCCTATGAAGACTTCCGGGCACTTAAAAATTATTCTTTCGACATTATTTCCTCCTGAGGTCTATTTTCTCCTTTCTGTTGGTCATTTGTGGTCAGTTCGTTTTCATTGGAAGAATAAAGAAGCATCGGGGTTGCTGAAAGTTTCGTTAGACATCTCCTTCTGATATGCTTGTTCACGAGATCTTACAATACCATAGTTTTTAAATGGCACATAGCCAGGTGTGGCTGTCGTTTCTACCGTGACGTATGAATTGGGAGGAATAAGTGCGATTTTTTTAACCTATATGGAATGTGTCAATCAGCACTATTCACTTCGCTGAGCCTCCGACCATGGCCACCATCACCGACAGTCCATCCTCGTCTTTTAATGGACTTTGTTAATGCCTCTGGGTCTGTCAGTCGGGAGTCCCTTGGGTCGATGTTGCAGCATGATGGTATGACAATGCCAATGTCAATGGCTCGCACAATGAGTTCCTTGACGATCGCTAACTACAGTAGGTGGGCTAAATCATGAAATGTCAACAGAAATTCCGAAATGCGTTTTCATTTCGAACAGATTAATTAAGTAGGGTTGTAAATCCAACCATCTTGGAACACAATTCTAGATTAATTCAGTTACCCTAAAACGCCGGCTTTCGAACAAACTTCTTTTTGGCTTCATGTAGTAATTGAACTGTGTAAAAAACTGGCTACTTAATTAGCATGTATTTTTCTCCCTGATTTTCGATGCCTTTAAAAAGTCAATTATATTTCATAGAAAACATGCAAAAATATTCAATTTTTTATTATTCAGTAGAAAATTACCTCTTCTTTCAATTTTATACTTTCACGGTATTAAAAAAACTCCCAATTACAAACTTTTTTAAAACCAGATCATATCCTTCCGTCGAGTATGAAACTAGAAGAGAACGTAATTTCCTACCGAATGAGTAGAAGATTGAATATTTTATGCATATTTTCCATAAAATATAATTGACTTTTTAAGGGCGTCAAAAATAAATGCGAAAAATTCGTGCTACTTAAATAGTCATTTTTACAGAGTGAAGTTCCTGCATGTAGCCAAAAAGTAGTTCGTTGAAAAGCCGGCTTCTTGAGGTAGCTGAACTGTGATAGAATGATGCTGCATAATGATTGGTTTTAAAACCTTGCAAGAATTTTTGGACTGTTATGCAACAACTAAAGTCTTCGGTACTAGGTCGACCTGCACTGTTTGAAATTTTCTCAAGGGAAAATCCAACGTGTCACTTGTTGTCTGGTATCGCGTCTACAAAAGGAACTGGAGTTGACATCAGTAGAAGGCAGTAAAACAGTTATGGTGGAAGAAAATTGAGCGTTTTCGCCAATTTGCATACATCTCGCTGATCAAAAATGATGTTACTGCTGGGCTTTCCAACCGTCTGACAACCGTTTCTGGCAATTATTAAATCCAAATACAGTGCGTGAAAGATATCATGAAATGTTTGCCGAAATTCTGGAATGCGTTTCCGATTAGGGAAGATTACTTAGGTGGGATTCCAATACTGCCTACCATGTAAATAATCCTATAGTATTTGGGACTCACCAGGATGTTTGCTTTTGATTGGGCGTGTTTTTGACCTAATGCAGAAATCAGACTCGGTAGAAAATGACTACTTAATTGGCAGGCATTTTTCACCTTGATTTTCCATGGTCTTATAAATTCAAGTGTAGCTCATAGAAAACATGCACAAAAATACGCTTTCGTTTACTCTTTTTTAGAAAATCACCTTTTCATATTTTCTATCCTGAAAATATATATTTTTGTTTTATAAAAGTTTCATAATTCCCAAATAATTCTGAGCCTGACTTGCCACTGCATTAGCGCTTTGCGATTTCAGTCTACAAGGTGCCTGCATTCCGCGTAAGGAAAATCATATATTCCACTATGCCTTTAAAAAGGTATCTTATAGAGTTCATAAAATTTCGCAATGGATCGGGGCTGTGTTGTGCAATTCATGAGGAGCATTGGTAAACGTACATGAGCCGTCTTATATGCATGGACATCGCGCGGTCTTAAAAATATTATAATTAGAGACTTTCTTTAAACCTAAATAAACACTTTCTTCGGGTATAACATATAAAGGCAAAGGAATTTTATACCAACGGTGTAAAAGAAAGCGTATTTTGTGCATTTTTTCTATAGACTGTACTTGAATTTATACGACCATGGAAAACCAATGTGAAAAATGCATGCCAATTAAGTAGTCATTTTTTACCGAGTCTGAATTCTGCATTAGGTCAAAAACACGTTTAATCAAAAGCCGACATCCTGGTGAGTCCCAAATAATATAGGATTATTTACATGGTAGGCAATATTGCTACCCCACCTAAGTAATCTTCCCTAATCAAAAGCGCATTCCAGAGATTTTCGGTCCAAATTTGATGAGATCGGTCACTCCGGACAGGGATAGGGACACTAAACTGTGGCCCGTGCTAGAGGGCACATACTTTCATATTAATATGATCGCCTGTGAAAATAGATGTGAGGCTTGAAATGTCTTTGCACACGAAGTTTTGGATGGATATCTCGCGCATTGTGGTTTACGGCCTTCTCTTCGTAAACAAGTAACTTTCATTCTAAGAATAAAGTTCGTATGGCACTGCATGTGCGATTAAATTGTAGTATCCGATTCATTGGATTCCTCTCGCATCCTGTTGGACAAACGTATAAGTATCAAAGTCAGCAACAAAAAATTAGATGGCTAACGAGGGGGTGCTATTTCCACCCCGCCACACACCTACCAAAAGGATCAGCTCTGGCACTCATCAAAAATGGTCCTGCATGCTGCGATAATGGCTTGCTCGCCCATGTCGGAGGTGTTAATGGCCGTGACTCCATTCCCAGCGTTGATGACTGGTGTGATAACGGCCCAGAAATTTGGCTCGCCAATAATGACAGTGGAAGCCATATTTATGTGCCCATTCCCCAAATGCCTAATAACATTATTCTAGCAAGGTCTTAGTTCTGGATAGGGAGAGGAGAGATCACTGCGCTTGTTGATGAACTGTGGGTCAGAGAACCGCGGCCTAAACTTGTAGTGGCTCATGCAATTGTCACCTATCGTACTGATTTCGACCTCTTCAAACTTGAATGTGTAACGTGGTCACGTCGAATAAATTACTGTCGTTTCTCTTCACTGCTCATTCACGTCCGGGACACTCTCCCAGCTTCTTGGATGGAGTAACTTTGTTGACCACAGCAATGCACCCAGTAAACGACTCCGGACGTATTCTGCAGTGGAAACGGATGTTTCCGCCCGATGATCTGGCGTCTGATGGTTGCCTCCGGTCTACAGGCACCTTCAACATCAAACAGATTTGGGAAAGCGGCTAAAGAGTTCTCGACGCTTGCAAAATTTGAGGCCGATGCAGATTGGTTACCCGTCTCGTTTGTGCATCCACTGGTTGAGGGTAGCCATTTGCTCAGAGCACCCGTCAAAGACATTGCAATTTGACAACTTTGTCATCTGGTTTACCTGCATCGCAACCCAACACGCCAATATAACTGGGTTTGTGGCTGCAGTTTTAGAAAGGCCCAGGTTGTTGTTTCTTTTTCCGTTGACATCGGGAAGAAGCCGTTCAAATGTCATTCGAATGTCCACACCTGATGCTGTTCATTGACGACGAAGGTCTCATTAGCAAACCCAGCCAGCATACCGGTCTCAGGTGCCTCCAGCCATTGTAAGATCTCCTGGCTGATGAGTACATTGAACCCATTGGGTGCCTTTTACCTGAGCGCTTCTGGCGAAGAGAAGTGATGAGGGACGTCAAATCGAAAGATACCATGACCTCATCTTCAAGGAAACGCACTCCTTTGAGTTTTACCAAGAATTCTCCTGATAAACTGACTGCGTTGTCTGAACTGGGAGTCAGAAATGTGAGATGCCGAAACGGCTACTTTGTGAGTCCGTAAGTTGGAGTATCTTTGAGAGATACGATGGGCCGAAGACCATAGAGTCGAGCCAAGACCGTGTCTTGCGTTCCCGCCAGGTCGACGGAAACTATTGCATCTGAGTTCCTCAAAGTCGCATTACTTTCGTACGTCAACGATTTTAGAGGAGTGGTTCCGCATGGGACATAGAACTGGCGATCTTCCCTTAAACATTTTAACCTCGTGAAGGTGGATTCGCCTATCCAATACAACAGCGAAATGCCCCTTGTCCACGGACACGCTGACGATGTCTTTGTCAGCTTTGAGTCCCCTAGTGCATCACTTTAAGTACGGGAGTATTTTGCGCTGCCTGCAAACGATGAAGGGAGACGAAGCTTGGTGTCGGATAAAGCCCTTCGTCTCCTTCGTTGCTTCTGTCCGACTAAGGATCGATTATACCGCAGTAATTTTGCTGACAAATGATGCACCAAGTCTGTTCGTCAACAGACTGTGGTATCTGAGTCGACAATCAAATATTAAAAAAGACGAAACAGTCCCTTTATCAGTCTGTCTGTCTCTCTGAGCGCTATGGAGAGGTAAGCGCCTTCGAAAGGCCTTTCCTGGACTCATGCATGCGCCCTCTTTCTGTGATATTTCAGCTAAGTTCTTCCATTCACCAACACTACATTAATTTCGTATGCCTTTGTTAGCTCCCATCCTCCCGAAAGTAATCTAATATATCCGATACGACCCTCTTTTTCGAGCCCACTAACAGGGTCTTCGTTTTCCTTCGGGGATCGCATTCGACCGTAGGGAGCAATTCGGTAGCCTATGAGCAATGAGACTCATGGTTCCTGTGTTGCCTCTTCCTGGCTGAGGACTAACCCCCCCCCCCCCCGCTGTGATCATCCTAGCATGAACAAGGCTCCATTCTGCAACATCTGCATATGCTTCTTCGACAGTCTTTTCCGTGACAGTTTTAGCGTTTTCTGATGGCGAAGGACAAGGTAGCTTGCTGAACTGATTCACCGCTGCTACATCACTTTCCCTTTTCCACCCCCCCCCCTTTGCCGAAACAGTTCGGCCTACCCTATGGGCTCACAGCAGCCGGTCTTCTCGGTAACGGTAGGATGAAGGACACCACTTAATTGTCAGTAGACCATCGATCTCATCATACGGGGTTTTATCTTGACAGCTACTTGCAAGCCGTTGCTGACATTACACCGTCAACAACAACTGCTTCCCATGACATCAAACCAATACCCAAACCCCGTTATTTTTTGGAAATTTGCTTATTGTTTATTTATTGACCAACACGCTCACGTCTGTTGCCGTAAGAAGGCGTACGAAAAGGCTTTCGGCAGAAACCCAAACAATTTCTGTGTTTTCTTGCATTTCGTCGGCTTACAGTCTGGCGTGTTGCCCCAACCGCAAAACTCCCGCTACCATTATTCCCGTATTACACGATGCACAGTCTACCGACAGTTAAGTGGGGTCCTTCAACCTACCGTTGCAGAAGCTTTTGGGGACTTTTTATCGTGCAGCGTTTTGCGGAGCGTGCTGCTGAGTGCGAAATTCAAATAGAGTTCTGGGGAAGATTCCCCTCGACGAATTAGTCGTTTCCCATCATCGAAGCGATGTTAACTGCCAAGCGGTGACTGCCAACTTCAGCTGGTCAGTGGAGAATTGTTCAGCGCACCTGGGTTTTCAGAAAAGCACCTTCGGTGCTTTACTCGGCCGACCTAGAACCTGCGGTATACTCAATCGCTCCCCCATTCGGTCTCACCGCAGACCCTGCAGTGGGGACGGTCAGGCAGATGCAACCGGAACTCTGCCATCTGCGCTTACATCGCCACTGCGTCGCCAACATCTACGTCACAGTTCCAGACGGAACGTCGCTCGTTCACCGATTAGTCACACGCGCGTTCGCGGACGTGTGCACTAAATGGGCAGGCGTGACTGTCATCACTGGGCCTGACGGGAACCCAGTTTTGGGTTGCTCGACAGCGGCGGTGGCGACGACGGCGGTGGTAACTGTCTCGCAGACTCGGTCCCTCTCTCAGGTGCGTTATGATCAGCGTTAACAGCAGAAAAACAACACCCTGCTGGGAGCGGGGTGGGGAGGGCTGGCGATGGAGCCACACGGGCGGCGGGGGGGAGAGGTGGAAGTCGGCCAGCCGCAATCCGTCTCGTCAACACAACATGCTCGCAGCAGCATGCACACGGAGCGGAGCTCGCTCGCCCGCGCGGCCGCCGTCGCCGAGAGGAAAGCGCTTTGATGCTGGCCGTGCACTTCTAGGGCACGGACGCCGCACGTAAATGGGGCTGGGAACGGCGATGACAACCTATGCACGCACACGCAGATTTCTGATAGGTGTGTGCGGCGGCTGCACCGCCAGAAGTAGTCCAATCCGAGTTGGCGCTAAATGGTTTTAGAAGTGCAAGTATGCACCAGGTTCTAAGTAGTTCACACGCGAATGGCAAATCACCGTGGGGAGCGGATACTGTTCGACAACTGCAGAACATTTTGTGACATCCGAAGTGCGTTTGGGGAACAGCCGAAACCCAACTTCGTTACAGCGTTCTCATGATGGTTGGGCCGTAGGGACCAGGTTGAGTGGCGCGTTTAGGAGTTCCACACCCCTCAATGATCTGCAAATAAGCCTACTATCTCCTCTGTCATCAACGCTCAACCGTCCGATCTAGGGATCAGAAAACTTTTCACCCAAGTGATTGAGCCTGACAGCTGGGACGGGGTACTAACTCACCCAGGTTTCGGACTCGCGTTCGAACTCATCATCATTAAGTTAAATAGACAAGGGGTAGAGGACGCTCAGGGAAGCAGCAGTTACAGAACGCAGGTCCTACGTAACTACACCTGTACTTAAGGTAGCCATTACATAGCACGTGCATCCTACAGGCTGCTGTTCCCGATAATGTGTTTGAAAGGTTAAATTCAACCGTCAGGAGGACGCGGTTCGAATCACTTTCTTCGCAGACGCTTCCTAAGACTTCTCCGTTGTTTGTATTAACAATGTGTGTGAATAGGGGGCGTTCTGATTGGTTCAACGGTTGGAGACCTCCGCTCTTCGGTAAGTCTCTACCTAAGTACGAATTCAATTTCTGCCTAGGTGCTTCGAGAAGTACGTGTACATGATATGTACATTATGCAACTCTCCCCCCTGTAAGCGCCCCGATGATAAAATGAGTGCCCTCAAGATTGGCACTCGAGATCACGCAAGCACTACGAAAGTATGCACAAAGAGAAGGCAGCCGCGGTAGGCTGAAGGTAGATTGTTGATCGTGTCATACATGAATAGTAGTAATGGAAGATTTGCGGTTGGGGCAGCACGCCAGACTGTAAGCCGACGAAATGCAAGAAAACACAGAAATTGTTTGGATTTCTGTCGAAAGCCTTTTCGTACGCCTTCGTACTGCGACAGAGATGAACGTGTTGGTCAAGAAATAAGCAATAAGCAAATTTCCACAAAATAACGGATTTTGGAAATTGGTTTGATCTCATGGCAGCGACTGTTGTACACGGTGTAGTGTCAGCAACGACTTGCAAAAAGATGGCAAGATAAAACCCCGTATGATGTGATCGATGATCTATTGACAGTTAAGTGGTGTCCTCCACCCTACCATCGTCAAAGCCTCCAGGAAATTGAGATTATTCTTTAAGCGACTGAACCCCTCTTGTCAGTTGAATGCTGGCCCCGCGAGCGACTCACTTGCTCGGCTTGACGGCACCGTGGCACAGAGTGTCCGTAGCCTGAAGGTCCAACCGTCGCAAGTGACGACAACCACTGTGTCCCCGACGAAGTCGCCGCAGGACAGTTATTTGTGCGTGAAAACATTTGTGGTGAGGCGGAATTTACACTTCATTTAACGCACACGCTCCTCCCTAATTCACCTTCCTACGATGACACGACAATCCAGAGGAAGAAGATGATGCGATCGCTGGAATAAAACACCTACTGGTTCGATGTTTCGGATTCTCGCCCGAACCCATCATCTGAATGCCACCCAAATGAGATTTTCGAACATCCGGAAGACTAATCTCTGTTAGACCGTCCTGACCGATTAGGTCTACCGTGTGCTGCATAGTAGTGTAGGAGCAGGCATGGCGACCTACGTATCATTCCTTTTATGGTGGTAGTAGACTTACTCTGCGTCTCCCGCAGTCTCTCCTGCTCCCTACAGGGGCCCGGTGTCAAGACATTGTCAAGAAGACCGGGGTGGAAGGAATCGCGGGTGGCGGGCGCGGCCGAAACCGCCCCGAGGCGTGCCACAGCACCCGGCTCGGATCCTAAGGAGTGGGAGTGTCTAAGAGGCTACATTAAGAAGGAGACATTGGAGCCTGACTCTCCGTCTATCGGCCGGTCACACTACACCAAAAACACGTACACTGGGCCGACTGAGAGGTCCAAACTACCTCGTCAGTTGGCAACTTTCCAAGCCACGGCTTTTGGCACACCACGATAGCCTCAGTCGCGTCAGATTGTTTGTAGGGAAGTGCGCTGAGTTGTCGACCTCACTCTCCATTCCCATTCTCAGACCCCATCCACTGTGCGAGGCGGCCAGTTTTCGGTCTTGCAACCCCGTCTGCGCGTGCCCCACACAGGACTCGGTCTCCCGAACACAAGTACAGGATTTCACACAAAGTTCGGCGGGCGGCGCTTATCTCATATTCGTCATACTGAGAAGGAGCCATTGCGGCCTGACTTGCAGTCCACAAATCAACCTCTCAACACAAGCCATAGCTGGGCTGACCGCGTGGATTGAGTTAAAGCGTCAGTCGCCAACATTCCAAGCCACGGCGCCTAGCGCGCCGCAAGGAGTTCTCCTGTTCGATAACACTAACAACAGCCTCGACTCCTGCCGTTAGGATTTTCTCACGGCGTGCAGACATTTGCCCAAAACGCCCTGTTAGCACCCGAACTGAGGATCAGACAGACGTCTGCATTTTTTTCCAGTACTTTTTTCATAGCTCAACAAGAGATGGCAAGCAAGGAACACGCGCAATTCTGGTTTCAACACACACACACACACACGCGTTCTCTGTTTCTTTCATTTGCGACTCCTCGCATGAGAAAGAACCCTCTCCTACTGCCGTGGCTACCGCCGAGAGGGCGAGGGGGTGGCTTGATTGCATGGATTCTGTTTCCTTTTTGTCATCAAGAACACGGCTAGCTGGCATTGTGGTTGCCTTGCCTGGCGGTCGCAGTCCCTGCTGCTGTAAACCTCGAATGGCGACAGGATGGATGAGGAGGACAGATCGTGCAGCTGTTGGGGATGCCGGGCGGCGAGTGTAGCACGATGGTGGTGGTGATTGGCGGCGGGGGGGGGCGTACGCTTGCATCAACACCCCCACCGCCGCTGCCGATGATTTGACAGCCAGTGGTGGTGTACAGTACTGTGCGACCTGACAACGAGAGGCTAATGTCATGCCTGTGGCGTCGAGAGAGCGGTAACTTTGTTAGTGTAGAGAACTGTGCTACAGGCGGTTGCCAAGCGCGATTATATTTTCGACCAGCTACAGCGCGTAGATGATAGTTGGCCTGAATCGGCCATATTTGAAACCCGAACGGGAAGAACTGGGATTTGGCTCGTTACAATATGATAGGCAACAACTCTAACAGGTTAGCAAATGTTCAAAGCCACAATCGCATATCTCCCTTAGAGGCAAGCTTTTAGATGGAGCTAAACGGCGTTAGCGCACCTCGTGACACATTTGTGGAGCTTTTGTAAATAAAGCAACAGTCTGGTAAACAGAACGATAAGACCTAAAAAGATATTTTAAGACTTAGACCATATCTGCGACGCCTATGACAAATATTTTCCCGGCGAGATCACCTACATCTTGTTCTTCCTGAGATACTCGGCCATTTTAATGCAGATTCAAGTCGCGAGGAAGGAGACACGATCGCTGGAACAAGAGCCTGACGTTTCGGATTCTCACTCGAATCCATCATCAGCGACAGAGTCAGATGAGGGCGGTAAATTGCCCAGCTGTTGCAGTATTTATAGGATGCAGTTGCTAGGCCGCTACGTGCCTATCTCGTGAGGATGACCACTGTTCCTGATGCCAATATCGGCAAACCAAATTGCCCAAGAGTCCACACAGATGACGAAATCCGGCCACCAGCAACTCGGCTACGTGCGATGAGCGTGGGAGCCGATAATCTTGACAGGCACACAAGAGCATAGCAACTGCATGGCAACTGAATACTTCAACACCTGGCTTGTCGAGTCGTGATGCACTCAGGAGCTCCCAACGGCAATAGGCATGTAGCGGACTAGCAACTACATCCTATAAATACTGTAACACCTGGGCAATCCACTACCCTTACCTGACTCTGTCTCCGATTCGAGTGAGACTCCGAACCCTCAGGCTAATAAAGCTTCTGTCCCAGCGATCGTGTCTCCTTCTTCACGAATACCTCCTGAAACTCGCCTCTTCGCTTCTCTTGGCAGATTAAAGTATGCAAATCATCCGGTTTAGTTTTCTACATTTCGAAATTTGGAGAAACCCACTACCAGAAGGCTAAGAATCCTTCCAGAACTGAAAACTGCGTATTTCGGTTGTGTTGTCTGTTGTGTGGTTCACAGCGTTCGGTCGTAAACGTTTTTGTTGGTGGCGCTGAAGACTAAAATTCAAACTACGACCAACGGGTTGGGAAATTCCAAGCGTTTGCCCCCTTTTCGTTTTGTTTAAACGGGTACACTCGGAAGCACCCGGAATATTAGCTTGAGTAACTACATATCTGAAGTAAAGAGCTCGCAGAAACATCGATTCTAGGATGAAAACCACTTGCAGCTGTCTGGAATGCAACGAATATTTGTTGACTGGAGCACAACTGCGAATATTTTCCTTGTTCAGCTATTTTTAGGCGAAATGTGCGTACTTGTCGACTGCAATCGAAAAAACAAAGAGTTCTCATCAGATAACGACTTTTTTGACCAGTAAGCTATTGGCAGAACTAGCCTCGTATGTGCATGACAGTAGAGTTCATGCTGTTTGGAACGAAGAGAAGCAACGCTGGTTTCGTTTGGAAAAAGTAAAAGCGATTATTTTAGAAAACTTCTTTTAGGCAGATGATGATCACAATTAAACTTCATTTAGTGCTGTCTAATGAATTCATGGTCCTGACACTATGGACGGGAACTACTTTTATACACAATTCACCGGCCGACTTTCTTCCATTAAAGAACCTTGATACTTACCAACTTGGCTCATGCATAACTGGTGACGGCCCCGGAAAGTCGAATTTGAAAAAACACCTGCTTATTCTTTCGAGATGACCCTTGTTCAGTTCGACATAAACAAACATCCCGCTGGTAGGACCTACATATGTGGACGTCTAAACAGGACATGAAAGCAGGAACAGCCTGCAACAAGCATGACTTTAAGCCACTTTCCGGTGAAATTAGAGCTAGGGTTAAGTTAAGGTTCAGGGTTAAGTTTAGATTTCAAGTTAACGCTAACGTATGCCAGGATCACGCTTAGGGCAAAGGTAGGGGCTACTGTTAACTTCAAGGCTAAGGTTTAAGGTAGGTTTAGGGTTAAGATTGGGACAACGGTTTAGTTTTACATTAGAATTGTTGTTGAGGTTAGGACATGGAAATATTTTGTCATTTCTAGAATTATGCGCAAGTCTACCTTTATTACTTGAGTGGGACTTTTCTATTTCCATGTCTTGTTTGGGCGTGCACATACGTCAGTGCCGCCAAACCCGGTCCCCACAACCCATTAACTATTTCTAGCCATATTAGTAACTTCGAAGTCAAATTATTCATATCTAAGTGGAAATTTCTTCCTAGCGGGAGGCGTTAAACGCAACAAAGTAAGAGGAGATGATGTTTGAGCATCTGCGATTTTCGGTTTTTATGTTCATCAGTCTGACTGAGTCCGCCATTTGTTACATAATACTCATGCAAGCGGTAAGTGGCAACACTGCCTGAGACTTTTTTGTCAGAATCGTTTTATGAGTGACTTGAAACGCGAGAGACCACAACTCGTCCAGACTATCCCAGTGTTTTTGAGATATTTGGTTCTTATATTGAAGTTAAGCTGCCAGGATGGAGGTAAAGGTATCGCTAGATTATTTGAAAAGGTTTAGGCACGCTGGCAAACAGGGGGTTTTTTGGATATCGAGCAGATCTGTCGGGGAGCTCAATTGTGAAATCGCACCTGCGATAATTGCTACAGTGGAGTCACGAAGAAACAGCGTTTGCTGGTTTGACCTGATAACAGAATGGACTTCGGGCATTCCGAGCGTCAATCTGCAATCTCTGACATCGATCGTCTGACAAAGAACGGCCCTTATTTAAAAGGCAACACTGGTGGGGGAGGGAGATGGGGTAGACTCCTGCGTCATTCAATGTTGGAGAGTGGCCGGCTGACGAGGGATGGTGGATCAGAAACGGCCATGTTATTGCTTGCATGGAGTTTTGGCCAAAGGTATTAGTCAAAACGAAGTTCTCGTAATTAGTTCCGCAATCAGATTTTCCTGGTGATTGCCAATCATACGTGATCCTGAATATCCCTGACCGCGTGACTTAACTACTACAGCATTGGACTTGGCGATCACATTGGACCGGGGGCGCAAATTCCAGATCCCCCGTGTCTCGTTACATATGGCTGACTGAAGACGGTGGTCATATCAAAGACGGTTTTCGGTAATACATGTCAATTACGGTAGAATGGGTATAGTTGTGGCTGGCTATTGACGGCTAATAGGTTAGAACTGGTTACCCAAGCCTCCCTTGTCTTCGTCGAAGAGGTAATCCCCGGCAGAGATGAGGTAACTATGCGAGGAGTTGCACAGTCTTTTCATTCCTTGACGATGGGCTTGCGTGAGAGTTCGTAACGTCGGGTAAATAAACAATTAGCCCCAGCGATAGCTATCCCGTCTTGTTCTATATACAGTAGGTGGGCTAACTCATGAAATGTCAACCGAAATCCCAAAATGCGTCTCCGTTTCGAAAAGATTAGATAAATAGGGTTGTAAAACTAACCAGTCTGCAGTATAATTATATAATATTTCAGTTGCGTCAGGATGCCGGCTTTCGAATGAACTTCCTTCCGGCTGCATGCGAAAACGACACTCTGCAGAAAATGACTATTTAAGTAGCATGAATTTTTCTCTTTGATCTTCGACGCCCCCAAATGCTCAATTATATTTCATGGAAAACATACATAAAATATTCATTCTTTTGTTTATTTGGTAGGAAATTACGCCTTCTTCCAATTTTATACTCGAAGGAAAGACATAATTTAGTCTTAAAAAGGTTGCTAACTGTAGGACTTTTAAATACCGTGAAATGGCCGTTCATAAATCGTCATTTCTGTGCGTTTATCAATGTGGCTAGCAAAGTTAGCAATATGGCTCGAATCCACTGCTGAATTTTATGAACCCTATATAGTCTCCTCTTAATACCATAAAGAAATGTGTGCATTTCCGTATGCGGAAAGTATACTGCTTGTGGTTTGGAAACCCTGAATCTAAGTGTAACGGTACAGCGGGTTAAAAATTATTCGGGAATTGGAAAAGTCTTTGAAAACAAATTTATACGGATCCTTTGAGTATAACATTGAAAGAGGACTTAATTATCTATCGAATGAGCAAAAGAATAAATATTTTTATGCATGTTTTCCATGATATATAATTGGACATTTGGGGCATCGAATATCAATGAGAAAAATAGGTGCTACTTAAGTAGTCATTTTCTGTAAAATATCGTTCTTGCATGCGATCGGAAGGAAGTGCATTCGAAAGTCCACATCCTGAGGTAGCTGATTTATTGTAGAATTATGTTGCAGGTTGACTAGTTTAGCAACCCTACTTAATTAATCTTTTCGAAACGAAAACGCATTTCGGAATTTCGGTTGACATTTCATGAGTTAGCCCACCTAGTGTATTTATAACAGAAATTAAAGTTACTCTGTAGCATATATTTTAGCCTGACTTCCTTAACACCGAGCGTTCATGCAGAGGAGGGCCGCATGTTAAAAGCGAAAGCGACCGCAAGTGTGCGACGTTATCAACGCGGCTTAGACGGTTCCCGACTTTTAAAAAACACAGCGCGTCGTTGCGGAACGACTCCCTAGAAAGCTAGCAAGTTTTCCGAGGCAGAAGCCGCGCCGAAATCAAACCGACGTGCAGGACAGACCTCCTCATCCAAGACGCCCACATGCTCGACTGCCTGTGTCCTTGAAACCACCTCAACAAAAAAGCGAAGAAGGGCGGGAAATTTAAAGGAATTTTTGAAGGAGTCTCCCAGCCTAAACACTGAGGGGTGCTACACTCAGAAGCAGCCCGTTCATGCTCCCATAAACACTTATTGCGGGTGGAGCTGGTCAGACGAGAACATTTGTAATGTACGCAGCTGTGCGACATTCCGAATCGTACTACGCGCTGGTATAAACAGCAGCCTTGTTTTGGTCAAGCTGCTAACTACACTTTTAACCCACTGTACTCTAGTTTTTTTTCGCATTTGTTCCCGCCTAGTCATATTCAGTGCCGAGAAATTTTCTAAACAGGCGGAAGGGGAGATTGGCATATCGTTTACGATTTTCAGTCTGCCGTGTGCGAATGAAGATGATTTTACAAAATGACACTTGGAAACTGGGATTTAGGAAAAAAGATATGGACTTGAAAATACGCTTGGTGTTCAGAGAGAGAGAGAGAGAGAGCGAGGAAAAGAGTAAGAGGGAAATGTATAGCTTAGTTCTGTCCTTTAAAAATTCCGACAATAAGCAGGCATTTTGTCCATTTGAGGTGCAGATCATAAAACTGTGGGGACTTGCAATTATTGTTGTTAACTTCACGGAACAAATTATTCAGGCAAGTTTGTACAAGGGCAGATGGAAAACAAATTAGTATTTATAAACCGCTGATTACACATTGGCAGGATATAAATATTATGCGGTTTTTCTACTAAGACTGATTGGTTTCACTAATGAACTTATTCAAAATAAGCATATTAATTTCAGAGAAATTTAAGATGCCTGACGTTAAAGAACTGAACTGTGTACCAAGAAACACGTGGAGTGCATTGGAAAATGCAGCGATGAACCGAATTCCTTGTTGGGTCTATGGTAAACCAATAACCATGGTATTACCGACAATGACTAGGGAGACTGGAATGGCCATTTCTGGCTTATTAGCCATCATTCATATTGACCCAACTGTGAAAAACTCGGCGCCTCGGTGGGATACGAACCCACGCAGTAAGGGGAAGGCTTTAGCGCAGCCAACGCTCTAACCACATGAGCTACGAGGCCCCTCCGGACGACGCGAGTTTAATCACATTTGGGTCAAGTTACCCGCCCAACCTACTGCAACGTCTGGAATCCACCAAATCTGATACAGTAAGCTGACTGCCCAAGCAGGATTTCCTAAGTAATTCACCTAGAATTCACCAGATGACTACCAGGCTCGCGTAATTCATTGATATTTTGGCAGATTTTTGAATTATTCATATTGACCCAACTGTGAAAAACTCGGCGCCTCGGTGGGTCAATATGAATAATTCAAAAATCTGCCAAAACATCAATGAATTATTAGCCATCGTCCGCCAGCCATACCCAAGCCCGAAGTGTGGAACACCCGAGCCTCGAACTCGCGACCTGTTGGTTTAGAAGTCCACGCCTCTACCCACTGGGCCACGAGCCCGTTGCCCTGTCGGTTTCCGATCGGAAATATACAATCGTAGGGGGGGCTCACCGATCGTTCATACGGAACTCACTCGATCCGTTGTGCCTTAAGGGCTCTCTCACTTGTCTTTGTCGGTAATGCCATTCTGCCTATGTATCATGCGCCGCTGTGCGGCTGCTGGTTGGGCTCGAGAGAGAGCCCTTAAGGCACAACGGAACGAGTAGGTTCCGTATGAACGATCGGTGAGCGCCCCCTACCACCGATAACCATATATATGTCAGTGGTTTATATCTCACTCCCAAAATAGCCAATCACATAAAGCGCAGACAAGTGTTTCGCTGATGTTTCTGCTCTTGGATGGAACAACAGCTAGGCATACCACTCCTTGTTGGTTATACTTGCGTTCCCTGGTATATGAGCTCCAGGAAAATATCAGCCTAATGACCTCATAAATTATGAAGTTCCGGGACCTAAGTCGTACAAAATTAAATTACAAAAAGTACCAGATGCTTTGGAATGAACTTTTTGTTATTATTCCCATGATAGTTGATTGATTTTAGCCTTTGATTGAACATTTGCTGTTGACTCTAAAATTTCCTGCCTTGGACACTTGCCTTCAGGTCCTGCATTTAATAATTTCCGAAATAGTTTGTTTCTATATAAATGTTACATATATATATATGAATGCAGAATAGAATTACTGACAAATACAAAGGAGACTGTGATGGTCATTTCTGGTTTGTTAGCCGTTGTCAGCCAGTCATACCCAACCCCGAAGTGTGGGACACCTGGAGCTCGACCTCTCGACCTGTTGGTAGGGAGCCCAACGCGTCTAACAACTGAGCCACGGGCTCGTCGTCCTGTCGGTTACGATCGAGAGAGAGCCCCAAAGCATAACGGGATGAGTGCGTTCTGCAGCGCGATCAGTGAGCACGCGCTCCACCAGTGTATATTCCCGATCGCAACCGACAAGACAACGGGCCCGTGGCTTAGTGGTTAGAGGCGTTGGACTTCTAAGTAACAGGTCTCGAGTTCGAGCCTCGGATGTTCCACACTTCGGGGTTGGGTATGACTGGCTGACGACGGCCAGAAATGACTATTCCAGTCTCCCTTGTCTTTTCGGCAATAACATTCTGCCTATATATCATGCGCCGCTGTGCGGCTGCTGGTTGGGCTCGAGAGAAAACCCGTAAGGCATAATGGGACAAGTGAGTTCCATAGGAACGATCGGTGAGCGCCCCTCTACCAAATATATATGCAGCTTTCAGGACTATTTCTGGGCAAACTATTTTTAACTTCTAACTTCTTTTATCTGGAAATTTTCAATGCCTAAAGTCAAGCGCGTGATCACAATCTTTTCACAATCACAATCTTTTATGAATGGTCTTTATACGGATGACTATGATAGTTCGACCGCCGCATCCGACGACGCCCACCGCGTACTCCACAGCAGGTACGGTGACTTGGGCATGAATTAGCTCATAACGAGAGTAGACTTTCGCAGCATCTACAGCGCTCTCTCCTTCTCCACTAAGATATGTTGTGTGGGAGGCAGTTGTGAAAATATCGCGTTTCTCCCTAGCGGTAGTAGCGTTCGTAGGTGAAACAAGAAGTCGTTCCTTCCCAATGTACTATGCCTAGTTCAAAAATGACAGTTGAATCATGAATCTCAGACGTAGAAGTTTTCGCGAGTACTGTAATTCTGCTCCATTTTCTGCACTCCAAAAAACTACGGGTACTAAAGTCATTGTTCTTTTTTTCAAAATAGTTCATCGGCACAATGGAGGTACCGCGGCCGCAAAATAGGCTGGAGATCGTCTCTTCCATGCGCCGGATTCGTGTGAGTTTCAGGATTTTGTGTGCGCACATTTTATCCCTTCCTGCAGAATCAATTTCAACAGTTTACTCATTTTTGCATCTGCTTGAGATGGCCCATTTGAAATCTCTGACTGTCGTGCTCTCCTATCTGGACACTCGAAATCACTTTCCTCCTTTAACGTGTGGTTAATTGAATACACATTTGAACTCGTTTTGCGGGCAACCGGGTACTGAACTGGCTCACTAACGACAACTTACTAGCCAGAAATTGTCGTCCCAGTCTCCGCGGTATTTTCCGGCGCTCTCTTTTCCATTTATATGTATAAATATGGCAAAGATACTATACAGTACTCCCGGCAATTGTACCCGCTAGAAGTCCAGACACGGGCTTCCCTGATATTCTGCCGCTGCGTGACACAGCTGTGAGGGTCTCGGTTCCTCAATGAGCCCCCAAGCGTCTTCGTGCAGTTAATGATATATGAACTCCAGAGAATAATCAAACTAATAATGTCAGAGATTATTCAGCGCAGGACATGGAGTTAAAATGATTGGCTTCTAGCTAGAACTTATGTCTGGAGTACGGTATAATTCCGTTGCCGTATGTAATTCACACAACGTATACTAGACTTGTCTTTAGAATGGTTATTCCACAGTAGCTAATTGTCTTCGACTCATAGGCTCACCGAAATTTCGGGTCTGACCGCAAAAAGTCCTGTCCGGTGACTTAGTGTCCTGCACTGAATAATTTCAGAAATGACTTGCTCGATATATACAATATAGAACTGAAAGTGTGATTTCGGAAAAGAGGTGATAGGAAGAATAAAGCTTTCCGAGAAGCCTTTTCTCAGCCCACGTAAGACGTAAAATACGTAGTAAATGGTTCAATCATGCTCCGAAAATACGTACTATCAAAGAATCTGCCAGTTAATAACTGTGTACTGCGTGCAGGGTACAGTAATTTAGATTTGCAAACATAGAAGCCGGCCGAAATGGACCTATATAGCACAAAGGTAAACGGAAGTGCTCTAAATTATGTCCCCAATCCTTATTTCGGGAGGCCTTTCCTCGTAAATATTTCTGATCTACTTAAAGGTCCATGTGTGATCAATGTTTTCCCTGCAGAACCTTCCACGACGAGACTTAACGGTTCAGTCTTTTGTCAACATGCATATTTTTTCTACTGCTTTAGTATGAATTCAAGGCGAAAGGTGTCAAAAAGCAGAAGGTTCTCATAAAGGTCTCCGCCGATGGTGTCTTTGTGTATGGTCGAAATAAACCCAAGGTAAGAAACAAAAGTCTTCAGTGTTATTTGAAATTCGACCTTAAGGGTCATAATAAAATTATGAAGTCAAAAACAATATGTTGAGTACAAGGCCCGCCTCCAGTCACTCCCTCTCTTAGGCTCATGTACACATATACATATATACATATGTACATATCGACATGCACATATATGTCGATATGCGTAAAGATTCGAGGTCCAGACATCGTATCGCCTTCACCTTCTCCCGAAGAAGATGAAGAAGGGAAGGCGAATCCATAGACCAGACCAGGGAGACCAGTCTCCCTTGTCTTTGTCGGTACTAACATACTGCCGATAACAAAGGAATGTAGGAAGGCCACTTATACACGCCAAATCCTGAGCTACCCCAGTAAGCACCGGTTGTGCCACAAACTCAGGTGTGTGCAAACATTCTACAGAAAAGCAGAAACACACTGCAGCGAGCCGGACGACAGAAGGCCAGAACAACGCTACCTCCAGCGCCTCTTCATGGCCACCAGGTATCCTCGCAACTTCATCGATCGCGGCAGGCAGGTTGAACCAAGACGACGTTTGGTGACAGAACGGCCAAAATTATGACAGGCGCTTCCATACATCGAAGGAGTTTCTGAGGCGGTCTCCCGTCTCTTAAGACCGCTGGAGATCGGCACGAACGTCATCTACCGGATTCATTGTGACTCCTACGAGGTTAACTACATTAGAGTGACCGGCACACGACTACAGACCCGTGCTGGAGAACACATGGGGGCAGTAGAAAGGATGGACACTTTGTCTCTGGTGGCAGAGCACTGCGCCGATTCTGGACACACGTTCGCCTCCAAAATGCCGAAATTCTGGGTCGAGGAAACGACCGCATAGCCAGGGAAACAATCGAGGCCTGGCGCATGGGGACAACCTCCATAAACCGTTGCCTGGCTCTTCCCGTTGCACACGAAGCCCTACGGGTGCAGCTCAGTCAACGAATAAGCAAACGGGAACTCAGGCTAAACATGAATCCAAACATGCGCGAGTATATGGCTAATACACACTCAGTCGCCCCTAAACCGGGGTCTGACGAAGGCGCAGTCGTCACTACAGCCGTACCATCCCCTATTCCGGCAGACGAAAAAACAGGCAGTCGTGGCAGCGTAAACAAGATTGTCAGTCTTGGACGGCAGCTAAGGTCAATGAGGGTACGAACGACGGCCACCAACGTCTCAACGCCGGCCCCCGATGTAAACTGAGTACATTCCGTCACCCTCCCTCCCCCCGTCCGCCACAGCCCTGTGTGCATGCGGATGATGATCACTAAAGCTAATACACCACCCCCTCATCCGGCAACAAGACGCTCTAGGACTCCCTCCCCGCCCTGACTGTATACGTAAAACTCGTCTTAACATGACTGCACCCCACCTCTAAATTCTGAGGCGCAATACTACATTCACCTCTGACGATGGGAGCTTGTTTGCTTTTGAAACGTTAGGACAGTAAAAGTATGGTTCCCGAGATCGCCTCTATTTTTCCTTTATGTCCGGGGACGCGCACCTTTACTTCCATTAGCAATATATATGATGGAAGGACATATATATATATATTCAATCAGGAATGGGCGCACACCGATCTATTGGCCTCACGAAGCAAACAAGCCCCGTATGGGTGGCAAAGGTCACGAACAGGCAACCAATTACCAGGCCGAAGTCGGCCACGTCATAATAGCAGCAAGGAGGGACGACAGAGAATGCGGATAGATTCAATCTGCCCGCATTCTCTGTCGTCCCTCCTTGCTGCTATATATATATATATACTTGAGCAGAGAAGGCAACTTCGAGAATCTCAGATCCACTGCTCCGACGTTTCAAAAGCAGACGAGCTTCCATCGTCGGAGGTGAGTGTGCCATCGCCCCTCATGGTACTTATGGGCGATGACAATCATGTTAAAACGGGTTTTCCTATGCAGTCAGAGCACCAGGGCGGAAGGGGTGGGAGGACAGATCCTCGAGCCGCCGGATGAGGGGACGGCTTTTTGACTTTGGTGGTCATCGTCCGGGCGGGGGGAAGGTGGGTGGTGGAATATTCTCAATCTATGTGCCTCTCATCGAGGGCAGGCCTCGATGACCTTAACTGTCGTCCTAGGCTGGCGGTCTTGTTTACGTTCCCATGACTGTGTATTTTTTTCATCCGGCAGATTAGTGGATGATACGGCCGTAGTAACGACTGCGCCTTTGTCGGATGAGGCTGCGTGTGTGTTCGCCATAACCTAACTCACGTCCGGATTCGTGTTTACCCCGGGTTCGCGTGCGCTGTTTTGTTCATAGGGTTGCATCCGCAGGGCTTGGGAGGCCGAGGCAAACGCCACATGGCGGCTAATGAAAGTCGTCATCGCGTGCCAGGCCTCGATCGTTCCGACTCGACATCACCTATAAACACAACAGGCTCACATAGGCAGCCGCACAGCGATCAGTTTATGCAGACATGGGGGTACAGTTCAATGCTTAGAGAGTTGAATTTTATAACGTTCGATATCCGAAGAACACGTGTTCGAACCCCAGATCCCGCGAACTTTTGGTCGAGCAAGGCTGACTGAGGAGATCTGAAAACCTAGAAACGACCAGCGCGATCTACTCTATCTTTGGCTGTGTCCCATCATCTGCATATATCAGTAGTTTGTACATGTCAAATCTCAAAGTTGTATTGTGACAAAGAACATCGTTTTTGGAACTGCAAGTGGACTCACACATGGTACATGAACTACCAAATCGTTCAATGTAAAACCGTCTGTATTTCAAAACATCGGTGTTAAAAGATGTCTCAGTCTCAACAAGAGGGCTGCCGTAAAATACCTTTTTGCGGCTTTTCGGGTTAATTGGGTCGAATTTTAGGAGAGAGCCTAAAACCCTTTCCTAAAAACACGCACTACTTCGGTAGCTGTTTCCCTCAGGTCGCTGCAGCAATTACCATGTGAAAGCCAGAATTCTATGCTGTATGGGTCAGCCTCTAAACGCCTTCCCTAAAGCATTTTAAAAGTGTCTCCAGTCGCGTAAGCCTTACGGCTTATTTAAAGAGTTCGCTCGACGAAACATGTCTTTGCCGCCTTCAAGTCTCGAAATTCTGTCACTTCAATCCCAAGGTGTGCTCGACTTAGGATGCAAATGAGTGACGAAGTTAATCCAGTGCGTTTACAGGAGATCTGCTTTCCGATAACATAAGTATCTGCTAAGGAATGCTTTTGGGCGAAGAGTTTCTGCAACTGCCAATGTCTATAGTATATGGTGTCCGCTATTCTGGATCGAAAAGATGCGTACTCATGGTCTGGCGAGCATTCCAACCACCAGCATTAATCCTTCAGAGGCCAACCGTTCAGATCTGACCGTGTTTTATTTTTGCCCTCTACAGGTCGGCTCACGCCTTTCCTCCGCTCTCAGCAGGATATCCAACACCACAACGTCTCCCTCAATGGGTAGGTTAAAAATCAAAGCTACTCAAAAAGCTGTATAAGATGAATTTCCGTCTTTTCCGAAAACAGGCCGAATTGCAATCCTATTGTATAAAAATGTCGCCCCTACTGGCCAAACTCTATCACTTGTGGACAGTCTCGATGTTGCTTGTTTGTACAGAGAAGATTTTTGGAGGATGCTAATGAAGTCCTTGAAAGTGAGCCGTCACCTGCTCAATAGAGATGAATCGGTGGTAGGGGGCGCTCATTGGTCGCGCTACGGGACACTTTCTTTTGTTATGCCTTTGGACTCAATCTCGAGTCCCGCCAGTAGCCAAACAACCGCTGGCAATATGAGCGGATTAACAATACCGAGCCGCAGGGCTTGCAAAACCTGAGATTGGATTTGGTTGGCTGATAAGAGCTAATGAGCCAGAAGTGTCATTTCAGTCTCCCTTGTTTTTGTCAGTAATGTCATTCTGCAGATGAATCGGTATTTCAATGTTTTACGCATTGTGTGTTTCACTGTTGCAATGGAAGATATCCACCGATGTCCCACAGGTGAGCCCAGCAGCATTGATTTGTGCTTTAATTAATTTGAAGTAAGACAGACTTGCGAAGCACCCTGCACACTCACTCCTCACCCAATCACATTACTCGAAGTGCAAGTCGAATTCGGGGCAACAGTGGGTAGCGGTGACAAACAACCTGTCTACGCGTGCCGCACGCACGACCTGGTCCCGACTCCTGGCGCAGTCGACTACAGTTCGGGTGTCCTGGGTCTCACACAAGTTAAAACACCAGAAGGGTAGTGTAGGGGAGGTGACATTGCATTCCGACTCCCAGTCCCGAGAAGCACGGAGTTATCTCGTCAGCTGACAGCCTTCCGACAAACGACTGATAGCGCGTCATGGCAGATTGTAGTGCATCAGATTTACTATGCTGAGGATGAATTTCCTTCCAAGTTACGTTTATTAACGCATCAAGTTTATCATAATGAGGCGTGTGACGTGAGGACGTACGCCTCACACTCTATTCTCTCTTCCATGCATCCGTCGACTGCCCGAGACTCTCTGCCAACCGGTGATTAAATTCGGCAGTTTACGCATAAGGGGGATCATCAGTAAACGTTTACAGGTCCACAGTTTATTGATCCTCTGATTCCTTACATAGGACTTTTCGCTATAATTTCTACCTAGTGCCCTGAACTGGGATGAAATCTACAGCACGCTGAGTTGTATATGCACGCGGGTTGTAAATTACGTCTAGGGGCTTTTAGAAGAAGCAAAGAGTAATCGAAAATCCGCATAAATTCAAAGACGTCTGATGTCCCCTATGAATCTTAACAGGGCAGAATAACTCCAAGTCTTAGATGCTTATTCCACGTTGGAATATGGGGGGCAGGGGGACTCGTGATGGGCATCGACTTATCCTGATTGCGGGACAAGAGCGGATTTTTTAGTTCGCCCAGCTCGCCCAGCCGATGGCCTGGCGACTAGCAATCAATGATTGTGAATTTCGCCAATAAAAACAAGGACAGTGAAATGGCCGCTTGCCGATATCGATGACCTATGGACTCGAGTTCAGTCCCAATGATAACAAGTAAGGTAGAACTGGTCATTCTGGCGTTCTCACCTATAGAGGCAGAGAACTAGTAGGGAGAATCTGGACCTCAACTTTCTTCTAATGAGCAGGCGGACGTCAATGTTCAATTGGTAACCTCTAGGCCTCTAGGCTAACGTTCCAGATGGTAGTGCAGCCACCCAACGTTAAAGACATGTATTTTCACTACTTTCAATTATAAGTAGAAATAAATTGTTATATCTCCCAAATGCCGTTTAAGAAAAGCCTACCTCGGTCAAATCCAGAGAAAGCGTCTCTGCTGCGATGGAGTCTACAACCACTTCTCCGGCCCGTAGTGGAATACTCGGCCTAGGACTGCGTGATACTGCATCGCTGGCTTGCGTTCATCCCTCCAATGTTATCCTCTACCATCCAATTTACAGGTGGGCTCCAGCTCGATGCTTTCCTCACTTCCTCTCGACCTCAGTTTGATGACTGTTTTCTTCCCCTAATAGGATCTTTTACGTATCCCATGATTCTCAGGATCTGAAGATTTTCAGCTACATTGCAAGGGATGGACGAAGCAGTTGCTTCAAGTGTTACGTTTTCAAAGCCTATAAAAAGGTGAGTCAACGCATTTTATCTAAAGCATCACCCATTTCGAGGTATTTCCGACTGTCCTAGGTTTTCCTTTTTCATGTATCGAGATTGTGAGTTCTGCTTAAATTCCCCTTTGCAGGCGGCTCAAAGGAATATCCTTTGGGACGATGAGTTGTTTTTTAGAAGTTATAGGATTCGATCAGAGTCTGCGTTTCTGCATATCTATGGGCTTTCTCCCCTCCAAATCCTGGAATTATTAATTAAATGAAATCGGAAATCGAGGTTGAGATCTAAACTATTCTGGTTATATTTGAGTGTTGTAATACCCGCCATTTGTGTCTGCAACCACAAATAATCATCATTAGTTGATGCATCATGTATTAAAAGCATTAGACGCATGATCATCGTTTTACTTTACAGTTACTTTTTTAACTAAATTCATTGCGTATCGAAAATAGCGAAGGATTTCAGTTGATGTTGAAAAATTAAAAAGGCGATCTGGCGAGCATACGTCTGCTTTCGATAAATTCTCTTCAGGCCTCCACATTTATATGGCTATTGAAATAATAAATTAAAAGATACGGACAAGTAGAAAATTGAGCTGTAGCTCGGATTTGGGGAGGGGAGGGGCAGAGTGGAACACCCCAATTCCAGTCAGCGCCAGAGAGAAGGCGGGTCCCGGTGAAGGTAATTACATGCGGGTGGCTGGCTTGGTAACTTTGAGCCATGGCAACTGTGGGACCTGTATGAAGTTCTGTGCGCGTAGCCTGATTGCATCCGCCTCTGTCGTAGCCAAAAAGCGCTGCCCAAGTAGTTTTGGATAGCTTGATGGGACCTTGTTAATCACTCTGAAGGCCTCTCTGGCGTCTACACGGTGGTCTGTGTCTACCATGCGCGCGAGGATGGAGCTGTTGATATCCTTTATTTGACCCTTTCCTAACCATGCTGGAAGATGTACTTTTACTTTTTGGACAAACGCCGGCTCGTGCGACCAATATACTTTTCCTCACAGGAGCAGGTGAAACAGTAAATACGCATAGAGGTGGTCTGAGCGGGTAGTTTGTCCTTGCCCTCTCCGTATAGGATAGGACTAGTGGAGAAGGGTGCACGGGCGTCAGCTGCTGGAAAGGTGCGTGATACAGCTTGAGTTAGGCGTCTTCTTAAAAGTTTACCCGGTGCATCCCCTTGAAATGGGATCCTGATGAAGGGGCTTTTCTTTCCTGCAGTCAGTATCGAGGGCTTTGGTGGTCTTTCGGTCATGTTCTTAGCAATGAATCGATCAGGATACCCGTTTTGGCTAAAAGGGCTTTCGATGAGTGCAAGCTCTTTCTCAATGCTATCAGCTGGGCAGATCCTTCTCACCATTTCTGTCAAACAGAGGACTAAATTACGCTTAACGTTTAGCGGTAAGAAACTCCCAGAATAGGTGTATTGTCCAGACCGCGTATTCTTACGATAGACGCTGCGTCGAACACTGCTGTCAGGCCTTCTACTCAGAAGCACATCTAGAGAGGGAAGCGAACCGAACTGTTCTTCTTCCAGATTAAGGTTGAGAAGATTGAAACGTTTTGCAACCTAAATTGTCAAAGCTGATCTAATGGCGAAACATCAGTTGCCCTTACTCGCCGCGTTTATTTTGTACTTATGTTCTATTTCAGTTACAAGCAATGCGCATCGTTCGGACAATAGGGCAGGCTTTCGACGTCTGTCACAGGTTGGCTCTTCAGAAAAGGGAGGCTGAGGACTCCTCAAAGACCGCCAAGGCGGAGGAGGCTGAGGAAACAGTCAATAGTTCGAACGATAAGACTCGACGCAAAAACACGCCCAGAAAGGCCTTCGAACGTGGACATCGCAGTCACTCCCCCTCCGCCTTCTCCGAACGCTCAACACACCTTCACTCTTCCATGGACTCGGACGACTCCGACCGAAATGACGACGACGTCGCAGCGACGGACACAACGAAGCGTCACCGTCAGCAACAAGACCAGCAACAACAGCAGCAGCAGGGTCAATGGCGCAAAAAGCGCTTCCGATCACGTAGCTCAGGGACCGGTAGTCCTCTCTCTGATGAAGTTAATGATCGCAGTGGGGTCTACAGCGAACGCTCCGATGTGGGTAGCCCAACAAAGGAGGCTGTCAGCAGTGGTGCAGCAGGCGGTGGTAAGGGAATGCCCCCGGCCGCCTCTACTCCTAACGCGGGTGGTTCAAGGTCGGCAGCAATGACCTTGAAAAAGATTAAAAAGGCCCGACCAAACAAGGCCGGCGACGGCAGCAGCCGCAGCCAGCGTGGTGAACGGAGATGGAACTCAGACAGTCATTCTCGCTCGAGCAAAGTACGTCCAACCTGTGCACACGAATGCGAGGAAGACAGCTCCGGTACGCCGTCAGAATTTGATCTGGGCAGTCTGCATCGACGCAAGCGTACCACTCGCAGTGGTTTGAAGGAAAGCATAACTAATGAGGACTTCCTATTGTGGACACAGAGCCAGTTCGGATATCCCAGCTCAGAGGCCTCAGTTTATGCCTCCTTCCTGAACCTTGGCGGTCCCGGTAGTGCTGGTCTGGGCGGCAACTTTCCCCAAAGTCGCTCTGTGGATACGAATCTTGCGCGGGATCTCCTCGAGGGAAGTGAGTGCCACCATATTAGGGTTACTATGCCTAACTGGTTCCCTCTTTGTATCCCTCTTCATTTAATCTTAACCTTCCTCTGTCTCTCTCCTTTTCTCAATCCAGGCAGCACTCAATCCATGCAGAGCAACTCGGGTACGCTGCTGGAGCCCCAGTTGCTGACAAAGCTGCTGAGAGATTTTCAATCCACCCACCCAGGCTCTTCGATTTCAACCACTTCCCAGTCGGCGAATGTGAACGCCAATGGTCAGCAGTGGCTGCCTTATCTGACGCCAAAATCCTTCCCCTGCTCCCCAGATCTATTGGGAATTTGTTCGAAGGTATGACGTCCTTGGAGGTCACCAATCACTAGCCCTGCATTTTATTGTAGTTTGCACACGGAGACTTAAGAACGTAAAAGAGTATCTGCCGCGAACTGAATATATAAGACAGCTGAGGAGACAGAGCACAGAGACTCCTGTAATACGGGCAGGATGTTAATATGAGCACTGTCAGTAGGGCAGATAGGCGTGGAAGACATTGAGAAAATTGTCATATTTGTCATATGTCTGTCTTATTACTCCACCGACATGCCAGAACAAACCGGGAGCAAATTGGGGACGTATAAACAGGTGACAAACAGGTAATCCAAGGTTAGTAGTCAAAAAAGGTCGGTTTGCGCCAGACGGTACGCGGCAGGCAAGCTTAACCCAAACCCTAGCTCTAATCTTTAGTTTAAGAATGACTTTAGACCTAGTCCTAGTCCTAGACTCAACCTCCAGCCTAAATACTGGCCTTAACTGAAAACTTCGAGCGCCAACCCAAAATCCTGTCTGAAAGTCCCACTACAGATAAATAAAACTACTCGTAACTTGTCTACTTAAACCAAATAGGTAGGCATGTTATAATAGGAAACCCTTCGAAATTTAACATGACACCATTTATAATACTGAGGGGTCCATATTCCCGTATCCGACCATTAATCGGAGAATCGGTCATTAGGGTGTTTGCAGCCGACGAAATTATGTTCCTCAGAAGAGCAGAAACTGACCACCTTGAGTCAAAATGAACTTTAGTTCGCAGATGAATAGTCCACACTGCGTGCGTGAAGCCTGTGGACGCCTAATACACATTAGTAAGTCTTTAATTCCAATGACGTAATACCGCATACGGTTAAGAAATCTGGGCTGACCAGTCGTTCCTAAGCTAACATATATTAAGAGATGACCAAGCTTTCCACAGACGATGAAAATACTTATTTATTCCGTAAAGTCCGTTCGAACAAGAATAAACAGTATAATTGAAAGCCAGCCTTTTTTATAGATGAATTAAGCGGTGCTAGAGACCGAACCACAAGGAGCCGCGTAAGGATGAAAGAACATCTGCTAAGACTTATGCTAAACGTGAGTTTGGTGACGAAGCATTCGGAAATTGGAGCTAGAAGCAAGCTGGAGGCCTAAACTCCAATTCCTTGGACTGTTAAAGACACAATATGGCTTAATGGTGCATGGAAGTGTAACTTATCCGAGTAGGAAAAGGGTAACCGGCCGGAAATGGGGAGATGTTGTGTCTTTGCAGAGTGTACTCTCAGGCAGAAGTTTTATCAACGTCATTGTAATTTAGAACTGTGGTTACATCCCCTATTTCCTCCAAGTATGCTTGGTCCATGCTTGTCGGTCGAGTATCTGATCATCCGAAGTTTCTCTATGGTAATCCTACAAAGTTTACAGTCGAATTCAGCGCCTATGAATGAAGGGTCTGATGCAGCATACCAGGATATAAAATCTGAATGCAAATAAGCCCTTTTTAAAAGTCAGCGGAATTTTCTTTGCACTGGTTTCCCAGGCCATTTTTGGGCGTGCATTAAATTCACAAAATACTTAGCATAATAAACACTACTTAATAATAAATGCCGCTTTGTCGTTCCTGTGGATAAGACATTGCTGTAGGCTGTCATCCCGTTCGGATTGATTGTGACCTTTTATAACTTTACTCCGAGACTATTGCACACGACATCCAGTTCGATGGGCTGATTAATACATGAGCCACCGGAGTCAGTGAATTCAAAAAATTATCGCTTCTTCCCATATGAACAGACACCAACAATGGGAGTTTCTCTCCCAAGCTAATGAACCCAGTTTCTGGTGTGTGGATGACGACTTGGGACATGTAATCTCGCATTTGTACTACCAGTTGATGCCGTGTATGCGTGTAGGGACCAATTTCCTCGTTTGACCACAGTAAACTGCATCGGAGGTGTCACAGACGAATTTTTCCCTGTCAAAAATGGCCAACTGCATCTTAAGGATATACAGACGGGGTGCGTAGTGAATTCTTCCGTCCGCGTACTGCCTGTATTTGTTGCTGCCTTAGGGTTTTTGGGCGTCTGCTATGTCATGATTCAGCAAATCGTGGCTTTTGCAGCCTGGTGTGTGTTGCCAGTTCTTTGACACCTGGTTCCCTGCTGGTAGGTGAGCTTGCGCTCCCGGCGGGTCGTGTGCATGGTTGCCCAGCTATCATCGTCCTTCTGACCCGTTGTAATCCTGTTGTTGGCTAAAATCCTGATTAAGTGTTTATTGTGTATCAGGGGGTGTGGTAGCACGGCTAGGTGCGGGCCCGGCCGTGCCGGCCGCTTACGCCCTCTCCCGCTCCCGGTCTTCTTGACTATGTTTGAACACCGGCCCCAGATGCGGAGGAGGAGAGAGTGCGTTAGATTCGGCGCAAGTCCACTCTCACCAAAAACTAATCCGCGCGGAATCACCGTGCCTGCTTCACTTTGCTATGGAGCATACGGTAGACATCGTCGGGCAGGACGGTCGAGATGTCATTTATTGCTGCCTCAGTTTCTTTCAACAAGTTCGGACACAGTCTTATGGTAAGGAAGGGTTCGCCAGTTTGATGGTTTGGATGTCCGGCTGTGAAAGTCTAGCTTCTTGTCGCAAACGAACCTTTTCATCGGCATATGCTTAATGGTTCAGTTAGCGTGGTCTGGATTCGTTGCAGGTTTTTTTGCTGTTTCGAGGACACCAATCTATCCATTCTTTTCGTCAATCTATTGGAGCCGAACTTTCTGGCTGTTGGTCTCTCAGGCCTCACCTTCTATGCCTTCCATTTTTATGAATAGTAATAGCACTTTCGGGTGATAAGTTGGGCTACCCAGGTACAGAAGATTCAGATGCGCAGCTGTGCGGCTGCTGGTTGGGCTCGAGAGAGAGTCTGTAAGGCACAACGGAACGGGTAGTTCCGTAAGAACGATCGGTGAGCGCCTCCTACCTTTGTGTATTCCCGATCAAAACCGACAGGGCAACGGGCTAGTGGGCCAGTGGTTAGAGACGTGGACTTCTAACTAACAGGTCGCGAGTTCGAGCCTCGGGTGTTCCGCACTTCGGGGCTGAATATGACTGGCTAACGACAGCTAATAAGCCAGAAATGGCCATTCCAGTCTCCAATGTCTTTGTCGGTAATAAAATACTGCCTATATCATGCGCCGCTGTGCGGCTGCTGGTTGGGCTCGAGAGAGAGCCCGTAAGGCACAACGGAACGAGTGAGTTCCGTAAGAAAGATCGATGAGCTCCCCCTGCCACTCTCATATTTCTTGGATTCAAAATAAGTCAGTTTGGACCACCCAAATTGACCGTTCTAGTTTAATTAGCCTTGCCGTTTTGTGTAGGCCAAGTATCTTTGCTTAGTGTTAAAACAAGTAAGGTTTTTATGCAATTCTTGATCCCTTACCAGGGTCGTGACCAGCGCGCTATTGTCATCCTTTCTTTTATGCTCTGCCTTCCTGCGTGCATGCAGATATTAATCTTCCAATACTTGTTACTGAAGACAATTCAGTAGTGTTTTTGTTTACTATATCATAGGAATCTGAAAGGTCCACCTCCTCGATCCTCTCAAGGCAACTGGATCTCCTCGAGGCGACAATGGTTCGCTCCTGTAAAAATGATCTACGCTCAAGTTCTCAGATCCATCTGGCCAAGCAGGAAAGACTCGCAACGCCTCTAACCGTTGGCGAGACTGGCAGTCAGCTTCCGGCCTCAGCGACCTCTCCGAATTTAGCCTCAGAGACAACGAAGACCGCCGAGACAGCGGCGGCGGCGACAGCAGCCACGAACACGAGTGAAACTGAGTCCTTCCCCAGCAGCGCGACCGACGCAGAAGCCATTTCCATGGGACTGTCAGCGCAGACCCTGAGCCTTCTGCGGAAGCAGTTAAATATGCAGGAGACGGAGACACGGATTGCTCTGTATCAGATCCATCGACTAATGACTCAACTTCGACTCGAAGCGACAGCCCGTTTAGAGGGTCAGGTAAATCACCTCCACAGCCCGGCAGTAGAGGGCAATTGCTCTAGGCCTGCTCAGTCAAAGATCATGATATCAAATTAGCGGATATATTTTCAGCTCTGCTCCCCAAAAAGACTTCTGAGGGCAAAATTCAGAACACTCAAAACAGGCAGCTTTTAATACACTGTATTGGATAGCGCCCTTTTTAGTTGGATTACATCTACGTGTAGGGGTAATCTTAGGGCGAGAGTTAAGTGACTTCTAGGCAGTCTCATTGTTCACATTCTTTGCAGACCAACCTCTCGTATTTTTGCTGTTTTCGCCCCTCGACTGAAAGACTGTCGTCTGATCGCGATCTCAAGCACAAAATGATAGAGTTAGTTTGCCTTGAAACATCAAACAGACTATCGCCAGGAGGAGAGGCAATGGTAAAACTACGGTTCTGAGGTTTAATTGACCTATCAATATGCACTGTACGTGCTCATGCCTACCGGCCAGGTTTTCAGTCATTAGTGGCTGAGGGAGGATACAGAGCAAGTCCGAAACGTCGAATGACTCATCCCCCCACCCCCACATTTTACAAGTCAGTATTTCCAGTTACCTATATTCTGTGAAGCGTTATTGCAAAAAATAAATAACGTATTTGAGGTATATTTGTTTTGTTGTCGTTTCAGCACAGAATTGAACAGCTGCTCTATCAAAACCGCAATCTTTCGGAGGGCTTCCACGAGATGTCGCAACGTCTGCGACGACTGGAACGCATGAACTCTCGCTCAGGCTCCACCTCTGGACATCTTGCTGACTCTGTCGAGGGTGCAGACTTGCCCGAACTGCCACGGGAATCAAACGGCCATGCAGTAAGTCTAATACCCGCCGGGGACAGATCCTGGGGGGTGTTAAAACTGGGAGTTGATGGGGAGTGCGTCTTCCGTTCGAGGTGCTACCTCGTGCATGGCACGCGAAAGCTGGTTTTATGTCACTACCTTACAGTAGGTGGGCTAGCTCATGAAATGCCAACTGAAATTCCGAAATGTGCTTTTGTTTCGAAAAGGGTAATTAAGTAGGGCTGTAAAACTAGTCAGTCTACAACTTAATTCTATAATATATCAGTTACATCAGGATGCCGCCTTTCGTATGAACTTCCTTCCAGCTGCATGCAAAAACTACACTCTGTAAAAAGTGACTTCTTATGTATCATGTATTTTTATCATTGATTTTCAATGCCCTTAAAAGTCCAATTATATTTCGTGGAAAACATGCATAAAGATATTCATTATTTTGCTCATCGATAGCAAATTACGTCTTCTTCCAGTTTTATGCTCTAAGGAAGGCTATAATTCATCAGCGGACACACACGAAGGTACTGAGTGATGTTAATTTGGCTTCCACTGGTGAGCAAAATTACTTTATATCCCAGAGCACTTTGCGTAAATATTAAGAAGGCGTAATGTGCTGCTTAGCATATACTTTCAATTACGCCGGACAGCTTCCCTGCAAGCGTTTGGAATACAATCTCACCCATCTCCTCACATGAAAATTTGCTTCCGATGCACGAAGTACGTCCATTGGGACAAGAATTTTATTTGCCCGACATTTAGGATTGTCAGTAGAACGAGTCATAGGAGGCTATTGGTTGTTTGATTGCGGTGAACTGTCAGGGTTTCACAAAAAATGGCGACTACTGTGTCGATTCACAGGGGTGGCCCACGACTGTGGGCAAGAAAGAACCGACTAGGTAGGTCAACACACAAGAGCTAGCAGATGGAGGAGAGAGACAGAGAATTTAATATTTTGTAAGTGTAATAGTTTTATGCCACAGAGCGCCGCTTTTATGAAAACTGCTCTTTCTGTAAATTAAGAGTGGGCAGTCAGCGTTGGGAATTTTGATCCTGGTGTATCCTTGGACTGCGTTCCACACCAGCGACGCTTTACAAAGTCATATAATTATAGCGGGATCGCCTAACCAGGTCTGAGCAGCGAAGGACATCGAAAACTTCTGCATGACTTTTCCCCTCTTGCAGATGCCCTTACTGCCTCGAACCGGTGGAAACATCCCCTTCTCCGCAACCTTCTCCAACTCCAAGACGGGCGGTTTTTCCAAGCTGACAGAACTCGATGAGGCTGTCAGGGGCATTTTCACCAACTCTCGTTTTGCCGCCAGTCCCGGGATGGAGGGCCGGAAGACCACGGCCGCCGCCTCCTCCCTAGCCCACCTCCCCTCCAGACTGCCCCGCTCCTTCTCGTCAATGATTGGCCAGTCGAGCGGCACCACGACAACGGAACTGCCAACAGCGGCGGCGTCATCGTCGACGGGATTCCAGTTGCCCAGCTTGGCGGCCTTTCAGGCGAGAGCGCAGGCCAGTGAGCTGGCAGTCAGCACAGATCCCACCGTCAAGTCTGGTCCGCTGTCCTCTCCCATGCCGACCGGGCTGTGGTCGCCTGTGTCGGGTCAGGCCAAAGGTGACAAGGATGATGGTTTTTTGGAGTTGGCTGCTAGGTTCTCTGCTACAACTGATGATAAGGTAATCTTCGTGTGCCCAACAGTTCCGTTTTTCTTTCCCTTCTAAACCGCTGCAAGGAAATGTCAGAGTAGACAGAACTCTATGACGCTAGGGCCAAAAGGTATGCAACCGTCTTCTATGGCAAAATCAGAAAACCATAGCCTTCGCAGCCCGGCATGCACTGGCAGTTTCAGTTTCAGTTTATTTGAGGGAAATATAGGTGGTGAACCTTTGAACTCCCTATTTGTTACAAGGAAACGAATTATATCAGATATTTGAAAATGGAAACATCAAACAGCTACAGAGTTTCTTCAGATTGGCAACATCTGGTTCCCTGCCGGTAGATGCGCCTGCGCTCCCGCTGGGTATGCGGGTCGTGAGCATGGCTGTCCAGTCCTCCTCTTTTTTTGACCCGTCGTGGTGTTGTTGGTTAAAATCCTGGATAATTGTTGTTTGAACCAGGGGGTGTAGAGTGGAACGCCGAGGTGCGGGCTCGGCCGCGCCATCCATCTACCCCGTCTCCGGTCTTAGTTACATTGTCTTGACACCGAACCCAGCTGGTGAGGAGACACTGCGATTCAGCGCAAGTCCACACTCATTATGAACTAATTCACGCGAAAGTCACCGTGCCTGCTTCACCTTGCTGTGGAGCACATGGTGTACATGGGCAGATGCGATGCCCGGACGTCGTCGGCAAAGACGGTCTGACTGTCATATAACCCTGAATCCCATCAACATTTCAGGATTAAAAATCAGCACCAGAACGACAGAAAAACCACCGAAAACGGCATCTACTTGCCGTCGGCTTAACTGCAGGCAACATGACGCGTCTACTAGTGGTGGATAACGAAACACCTCTCAACGGAAGCTAGCAGGCTCTGAGATCCAAGTAACAATTAATCGCGGATTATATATAGGCAGTACTTTAAAGCGTGCCTAGGCACCGATGTGGCTTATCCGTCACGCATGAAAAAACTACAGTTCATGGTGGCATTTCGGCATGACGAAAGCTGACCGCCATTGGCCAGCTGCCTCCTCCCCTCCCTCCCCCAATTCACACACCCCGCTTGTATGAAAAGACGAACCTTAATCGATTTCCCTTATCGCTCACTCGTTCTACTCTGTATCTCGTCCACATCTAAATGTACTGGCTCGATGAGAGCTTACTCAAAGCACGCATATGCCCTCCGAATAGTCTTCTGAAATAATAAGTAATTCATACATCGATGTGCAAACGGGACTTGAGTACTTCGTGGCCTCCAAGATACACACATTTTTCCAAAATCCAACCAGTAAGGGTATCATTAAAGCAGCCGGATCACTGTTCCTAGTAGGATTATTTGATTGGTATAAAAACAAATCTAATTGCACTTATTTGTTGCTGTTAAAGACTCGTATTGCGAATCAGACCTCAGTTAAACTTCGTTTTCACTCAGCTCACGGGGACCTTCTGGTAACTCAGGTGACAGAACACTCCATACAGTTTCGAGGGGTGTATGTTAACTCGAGCCCGTTCAAGAATGAAAGATTTCGGATCCAGTGAATCTGTGCTTCGCACTGTCTTCAACACCTAAACAATAAAGCTCACCGACTTACAAACATCTTTTTCTCCTCCAGACTGTCGGCGGCAAGTGGGTGGACGAGTGTTTTGCAAAGCCACCGCTTAATGCGTTAAGCTCATCGATCGGCACGTTTCCCTCCTCCATTCAGAGTTCGGCCGATCCCGATTTGACCAGAGTGCGGACTGGGTCGAGTGTCGACGAACTGGCACCCATATTCGATGCCTCCCTTTCGCAAACCCAGTTCCCTCTAGCTGCCGAGACCGCAGCCGGCTCATCCACGAATGACGAGGCAAGTCTGCGCGAAACCGGTCCTGAAAGTACTTCAGCCCCACCGCCTCCTCCTCCGCCACCCATACGACTGGGAGGCAATCCCTGGAATGCACCCGATGCGAAGCCGAACAGTGTAGTTGGTGCTGAACAGAAGAAAAGCGGACTTTGACGCCTCAGGTACCTCCCCCCTCTCTCTCTCTCTCCCCCCCTATTCACCTTACTTTCCATAATCTTGTCCCAGTCGTACTATTTAACTTATTGCAGGGGACTGATATACTTAAGAAGAGATGTATGCATTTATAAGGAAAATGGACTAGTTCATATCCAATTTCTGATTCGGTCTTTTAAAGCAATCCCCCTTCTTTTATCCTTCTGCTCCAAGAAGACCAGATAATGAGGTCAGTCGTTTTGAACAAATGTTTAGTTGAACAATTCTACGGTAGAGGGACGCTCACCGATTTTACAGAACTCACTCGTCCCGTTGTGCCTTACGGGCTCTCTCTCTTTGTCGGTAATAACATACAGTCGGTATCATGCGCCGCTGTGAGGCTGCTGGTTGGGCTCGAGAGAGATTCCGTAAGGCACAACGAAACGAGTGAGTTCTGTAAAAACGATCGGTGAGCGCCCCTGTACCATTGTATATTCCAGATCAAAACTGAAAGGACGATGAACCGGGAGCCTATTGGTTAAAGGCGTTTTCATTCGGGAATATACAGTGGTAGGGGGCGCTCACCGGTCGTGTCAACATAATCACACCAGCTCAAAATAATTTAGTAGATCAATAGTATTTTGCCTATTAGGTGCGGTTGCATAAACAAATCTTACCGATAAATCAATACGCTTGCAGTTGAATCAACCTCTTCTAAGGTGCGAAACTTACTGCTTCAGTCAGTCATGAAGAAGCTCATCTCCGCGTCTCATTGGATACATCCATCCCCTTACCTTCACTCTGAGGGTGTGGTCTTAGACGAGCTGAACACGGAACAACTTCTTACATGATATTAGCTCGTACTTCTGGTAAACCTGTCTCTTCTCCTGATAAAAACATTCGGCCAAAAGGCAAATATAATTCACTTTTTATCTTCTTAGAAGATCGTGCTTACTCTGGCGGCAAAATTTTCCGGCGTCCCATGCGTCTCCAATCGAGAAAACACAGTTGAAATCTCTGAGACCTGCATTGATATAGTGCGAATTATAGCAAAAGCGCTTGTCTAATGATGCATCCCCTGTCTTCGCCCAATATCTCGGAGAATTCGATCATCTTTGGACTCATCAGCAATCCGCAACCTCCGGTGCAGATTTTTAAAAATAGCGATTTTCAGACACGAAACGCTGGGGTCTGCTTTCTTCCCAGGTTTCTTCGCCTTCTTCTTGGGCCTTTGGCTTTTCGTAAATAATTGTAAAGCAGGTGTCCTCTAGAGCCGTTGCCTTTATCTCTGTAAATATCGACGACTTCCTGTGTCCCTCTTCCCCACTCAGTGCCCTTTTGTTTGATTTTATTTACGTTTTGTTACTTTTTGTTGACGTTCTTTTGGACATCTAAACGCACATCTGCCATAGGCTTCCTCATCCCCATCATCTCTCCCCCCCCCTCCACGCTGTCACTACGGACACAATGCAAGAGCCTTTAAGTCAATATTGCCCAACTCACTTTAAGTAAGAATAAAGAAAGATTCGAAAGATGATTGCATGTCTTCTTCTTCTTCTTCTTCTTCTTCTTCTTCTTCTTCTTCTTCTTCTTCAAATAAACCAGGAGCATGCGCGGCGGAAACGAATGGGGCTAAAGAAGGGCTTTTACGTGGCTTAATTACGACTTAACTTGTCAGTCCCATGGATAACGTCATTAGAACCTCTTTGTAGTTTTGGAATACTGGAGTAGTTGGCTGGTCTGACAGTCTTTATGCTGTTCTGTATGACGACTATGTCACATTTAGAGCAATTGTCGTAAAGCAATACGTCCACCGTAACCAACATTCTGAACTCAGATCGAGAAGTCACTTTTTAATGGTCCATTTAGTTTGATTTCCTTAACAACCGAATCGTTAGTCGCACTGCTCATAACGGGCATCGTTTAGTCATGTAAAATGCTAGACGAATGTAAATGGAGTAGAACAGACAAGTCTGTGATATGCCAAAACAGGTGGCTCAGATGGTTTCTTAAGTGCTCTTAAGCCATGCCTCGCATCGTGGTCATCAGTTCGCACAACATTAAGTAGATAAGAACTTTTACTAGCTTCTCCAACATACTCACTGTTTTTAACCGAACTGTATGATACAAAGTTTTTGGGAAACCTGTAATTATATTACTAATGGCGTCTACTAGTTGATTGCGTCTCTGATTGGCGCATGCTTGCACATGAGCACCAGCAGCGGTTCATTCATTTGACATTATGAGGCTCCACGTAATTTTCTTTATCGTTCTGGTAGATTTCTGGCAGAATGAGGCCTCACATGGTGGCTGGAAAACTACAGCCCTTGAGAGTAGTCAGTCCTGCTGGCACCGGGCTACTTTCTTGCCGTTGTGCTCTGACGTACAGTTTGGAGCCCTCGTAGGTCGTAGCACGGGAACTAGTAGTATGCGCAGATATGAAGATACCGGCATAGACGAGGGAGACAAAGGAGCGACTGTTTCCGGCTTATAAACCGTCGTCATTCGACTGTACTCAACCCCACTCCTAGACTATTTGAGATTCTATGCCCGCAAAAATCCCGGTGTCAAAAGGCAGCCGGCACACTGTCCTGAAATTGCTGGGTTCATTGCCTCCGAACTTAATGCAAGAGAGACCTCGACTTCAAGGCTTGTAATAACATTAATGTCAATTAGCTGGAAATTATTCACTACTAGTGTTTGCCACACGGATGAATTTCAAGCCTAAGACCTTTATAGTCTGTAGGATGCTTTGACTGCGTATGGCGTAAGATTTGTGTAACAAAGAATTTTCCGAATCTTCATAAAGTCTTATCTCCAAGGCGATCTAATCCCTCTCGCACTTATTTCACTCTGTGGGCGAATGTTTTTCTCTTTAAAAACCCATCAGGTGTTTTCTATCACCTGAGCTGTGAAAAGTAATTGTCGACCCCGCAGCATCCGAATGACTAACAGTAGAAAGTGATGTACATCAGAGTGCGGTATTAGGCCCATTGTTCTTACTCGTCGATATAATCGGCTGTACTGAGGACCTTGGCCGTGATGCAGTCATGTTCGCAGGTGATGTGAGAATCTGGAAAAAAAATCAGCGATTTTTCGTTGGCTGTCTGGTCCACTAAGTGGCTCCTAACTTTCAACATATTTAAGTGTGCAGTTTTGCGCTTGGAAGTTTGTAAGAAACATTTCCCAAAACACCAGCACTACCAGTGACTCTACTAGTAAACGTGGACACACACACATAGATATAGGTCCCTGATCAGCTCCGAAAGTGCTGCCCTTCGGACATTGTACAAAAACGGCCCAACAAGACAACGAGCACCATACACTGAATTAGACGTGTTTTCGTTATCCTCTTACTTGAACTGTTCGCGTAGATTTCTTATTCGTTGATTAAAACGCAGTTGGGAAATGAGAAACCGATGAGGATGCCCTGAATGAAGAAAGACAGTGATCCCATCCAGCAGGTGGAACGACAAATGAAAAAGGTGGCGAATGGTCTTAGGGCTCAGTCATATGCAGGGCGACTGGGTAGTTGTGGCACAACCTGCTAGGGGCATTCCGCAAAATTCGCAGAAACAGTTGTTTGCCTAAGCCCGAAGATCTCTTTTAGTTCGCGAACAGAAATATCCTGCGAGACCGAACGCACAAAATCCATCGCGAATAGACGCGCCTAGGACAAAGAAAGTTTTCCTTCAGTCAGCTGGCTCTTCAACTGTAGAACTTTCTGTCAGGCGTAATTGTGACCTCCGAAAATATGGCCATGTTTAAAGGGCGGCAGAACCGTTTGGTTTTTGGTGAACTAAGTCTCTTACAGCAGGATTATTGACAGTCAACTATGAAACTCACTAACTGATTTAATTCCTCATATATCACGTGAATGCAATTTTAATGTGGAATGCCTACAAAAACCTCGAAAAAACCATATTTTATGTTCTGCGTATGCAATTGCATTTATAATCTCACATTTCCTTCATTTGTGAGTAGTCTCGCTTCCTAAGATCCCCCACCTGAAATGTTAGTTTTTCCAATTTTCAGTTCATGCATCGTGCCCTCACAGAATGCGCTCCATCGACGCTCTTGGTGAAGCCTTCTGTATTCGCCATATACTAGTAGTCTGGTCGCATCTCCCTTGCCCCATTCTCGGATGGACTCGGTTGAATGCAACCGACCGCATCTGGGTTCCTATCACCTCGAGACTGGTTTTCAATTTCGCCACTTATTTGCCTTATTCAAGGCCACATACAGGCCGGTCCTTACCGACCCGCCTATTTTCCCCTTCATGAAATCCGTTATACAATGTCATATACAGCTAACATTTATTTCGGCCCTGTTGATGTCCGACTGTAATCCATTCTTTACCGCCACATGCAGGCCAGTCCTGCCCATATTTTTCTGTTTCTATTTTTTCGAGGGGTTTTTCTTCTCCTGTTAAATGAATTCAATCATTTTTAAATTTCCAAATGGAGTTTTTTTCAAACCTCGCTTATCATTTTTCTTAACGGACTTCTCATCTCAAAAACTATGTATTGCACTTTGTACAGATTTTGCCTACCTCGTCTAAAATTCGCATGTGAATTTATTTTTACTTGCTTTGATGGGACCCCGACGGGTCTTTAATGAAAATAATTAAATTAAGTTAAATATACATTAATGTGGACATCTAAGGCTCCGCCCTTTTCGCAAATGATACCTTTCATTATATTATATACAGATTCGAAACTGGGAATTATTTTAGAAAAGTGATGAGCTACCAAATAAGCAGTGAAAAACTCCCGAAATTAAAAGGCAGGGCAGAGTTTAGAGAACTTTCGCTTTAAAAAATAATCAGGATAGAAAATACTACTTTGCGAAAGGATATAGAGGATTAGGGAAGGTTTTTACTGGTGGTTGATGAAACTATGAAGGCAAATCAGCAGTGGGGAGCGAAGAGTCATTGTAGTGCTCCTGCGGATGCTAGACGGTGGCAGACCAAAGGTGGGATCGACAAAAGAGATGAGACCCCGATGTTTTCATGAACGAGACGAAATCCTATTGAGAATTAGTGGCGAACAAGAATAAGGCGGCATAGAGTCTGCACGTCCTTGTAATCTCGGTTGATTTTCTCTGATGACGGTTAGGGAGGACGTCGCGTTTTGCAAAGGACATTATTAATGGACCGTAAAAATAGAAATTTCTGACAAGAAGTCGTGGAAAGGAAGACCACGCACAGAGAGGGAAATGTGAATTGAGAAAGTAATTTGACGGCGGTGGCAATCTAAATGACCAATGGTCTTTTCTCAAGGCCCTGGAGAAGACTGCACGGGAAGGATGAAGAAAATTGGGTCACTGTTAAGATAAAGGAGCAGTCTTCCCCTAAAAGTATAGAAGCTATTTGACGATCTAATACCAATCGACAGGTTACTCCAACAGGATGCAAAGAAGAGAGAGAAAGTTAAGAGGTGGAGGAGGTGGGAGGAGATATAAACAAGGCGGACTTACGAAAGTCATATGGGTGAATAGCAGGCGTAAGGACTGGAATCAAAGGAAGATATGAACTGTTATTAATGCACAAAGGTGGCAAAAGTTGGCTTCTAGTCTCCGAAACCCGAGAAATTCTATGTTAGTTAGCTGACATCCATTTCAGTAGGATGTATTTAGATGTGGAGTACTTAAAAGCTTTCGAGTAAGATCCCCTTAGACATTTTTAATTTTATAACGACTATCCCAGTTCATTAAACCAACAACCGGGCAGGAATGTTCGAGAATGCGAAGGACAAACATTCGATCAATTCCTAACTTATTCGCAGGAAGATGTGAGTTATAAGAAATAAAGACACAAGTTTAGGCAGATTTGACCGTAATTCCATCAGCGTGCGGTGTGAGGTCAAGATCGTTCGCTTAGCTCAAACTTAAGTCCTTAATGGTGGAACATTCAGTCATAGAGGTGCCTTGACAACTCTCTGGTTAGAGTAGCGTTTTAGATCCAAACCACATGCAGTGACGGTTAGAAAAGAAGAATCCAACTAACCAAGTAGGGCTGTACGCGGGAAGAGCAAGACGGCCAACATGGATTTATTCCACGCAGTGTTAGACCGTAGATTTAGAGAAAAATACACGCATTTTAGCTCATCCGCATAAAGAACTGATTGCGAGTGTTTAAATGCCGACGAGATATCATTTATGTAAAGCGAAAACAAAACGTAACCGAACACGGAGGACACCGCTTACCATAGGGTTCTAATTTAAAAAGAAAGACTAACTAACACCTTTTGTTTCCGATTAGATATGCATGACTTAACCAAGTCACCAAGGGGAGGGTCAATTCCTAGAGCCTTCAGTTTAACTAAGGGTCATCTATATGGCGCCTTATAAAAAGCCTAACTTAAGATCAAAATAAATAACGACCACAACTAGGTGGTCGCTATAAAGATAAACGAGTAGATTCAGAAAAGACATCTGACATCTGTCGGAAAGAATAATCGTCCTCGTTCGTTCCTCTGGTACGGAGCCTTCGGACTACGCATTTACCAACGCTAAAACTGGGAGTCAACGAGCAGACTGGTTGCTAGGTCTGTCAAGACTCTTTTAATGTGTATGCCTATCTTCGTTAGACCTGATAGGTCTACAGAGTTCAGCGATGTCGGCAAGTATAACGACTCAGTTACCCAGGTTACGGACACAGTCCTTGATGTGGACCAGGAAGAGTGCCGAGGCACCAACGAATATGCTTTGCGGTCTCACTGAAAAAGACTCTGTGGTTCATGTCAGCCCTCTATTAAAATTTCACATAGATTTTCAAATTAGATGTTTGAATTAAACGCCGCTGAACACCTTTCTGAAATCTGTGTAGGCTGCCGTAGAAAGGTCATCCGCGTTAAGTGCAACAGTTCGTCTCTCAGTTGTAATAAACAATCTGTAAAGGCGAGAACAGCTCTGCCTGAAGTCCTGCTGGAACACTGAAATTAATGTATTCTTCTCCGAGAACTCCATTTCCGACTTGCTAAGTATGGTTTCCATTATTTTACGGCAGATATAGGGTTGGCAGTGTAAGTAGTCGCTACTGGTACCCTCAACGGACAGCTATAGTCCAGATACGGGTCCCCTCGCTATGTTTTTGGGAAACTGGGTTTTACTAAGGTCGAAAATATCAACCCCACATTGAGCTAGCTGGCGATTAAGCAGGGTTGACTTGCTGGTCGATAGACAACCCATTAAATCGTCAAAAGGACTGACATTTACTAGTTTAACTAAGCAACCCAAGTAATTGTCCAAAAAGATTATGACTGTTCCAGGTTGCCAGAGTACTAGAAGTCGTAATTCAGGAAGGGAAGATAGTAAAAGAACATTGCCGTTTTCATCCGCGAAATAAGCAACTTAAAAGGGCATTCAATAAATCCTTTTTCCGTAAGAGATAGTAGTGTTGTCCTTGGGAATGCCACACACGAACGTGGACGGTCACTGCATCCGTTAAAATTCCCAATCAGTTTAACGAACGTTTGATCTACAATAGTCTGTGTCATCGACGTAACAGCCATATTTCTGGAAGCAAAACTTATCAACCAACTGCAGCTTGTGCTTGGCCTACTACCAAGATTTCAATACATATGCATGGAGTTCGCCCGAGCGAATATTACTTTAAACACTACTGTAAGAAACACTTATGGCAGAATGATTCAGTCTGCAGGGGAGGAGGTTCGCATGCTAGATATTAGTCAATGAGGTCATAGTCGTCGTAGCGTTGCGTATGTTAAAAAGTGAACCGTATTTTATGTAGAAATGAAGAAAACACCGATTCGCCCTTATAAAAGGGATAATTCCTACTCATTTTGCATTTTTCCTTCGCCAGCTCTTCTATCCATCGCCTCACAAACATGCAATCAGAGCAACGCTGTCCTACGAAAAGGCCTAAAGAGGCCTGTGGCTCGTTAAATAATTATTCCCTTAGCGTGTCGCATACATGGATATTTCGTCAACACTCACCAGACATCACATGGTAGCTAAAATTAACTGGCTTTCCTGAAACGGGCTGAGACTAGGCCGTTTCAGAGAAAAAACTCCATTTATTTCAAAGGTAAGAGTTGGGTGTCAAGGGGCAACCGAAGGAACCAGATGACGTGACGCATCTCTCCTGTAAGTTGTTTCACCTTCCCTGTTATCCATGTAATGTCATGCTCTATGTATCCATAGTTCAGTTAAGTTTCCTAAATGAAAGAGAATGTATAATCATCAGTTCCTTTCTCTCTGGGATTACTTTTATAGCTTGTTTCGCCTATATGTTCTGACCATTCGTGTCTGTTTGTTTCCTTTTAGCGTTATCTACCCATCGTCCACCCGTCTTATGCCTTCCCGTGGTGTTCGAAAAATTTCAAGGTCCAGCAGAGCCGTTTTTAAGTTTTCAACTACAGTTTTGCCATCTGCTGTTGCTGAGATGCATCTATCCATCCAACTGCTAACCATCAGTTCGTGTCCACTCTACTTCATAGTTTGTAATATTGCGGTTTAGTCTGCTGCTGAGTCCACCCAATATGCAGCCCACACCACATTTTCCAGGACACTTATACCATGTTAGTGTGCAAAACCCTTTTTTAATTTTGAAGGTGTGCATCTCTTTTCAAGGAGTTAAATAGCTCGGAGCATGGGATCGCAATGGCATTGTTACCGCTCTACTTACCTTAAGTGTTGTCTGCTAAGGCTGATGGACCTAATGCAAATCGGAAGTTTACTCTACTGTCTGATGAAATGTTGGTGAACATATCTGCGCAAAACACCACCAGTGATTTAGGAAACACATGCAGCAAGAAAACTGATTATGCTTTTGGGGAACAACCAATCATCTTCCGAAACAGCATTGTGTACGGTAACGGTTGGCGGGAATGTCTGTGGGTTTCTTCCTCTGTTTCCGATTTCATCATTTTTACGATCGTCTTCGACATATTTGATTTTCGTGCGTTCATTCAGGTTTTGTGTATGACAAGTTCACTGCCAAGGCCTTCTGTTAGAATTTAGCTATCCCTGATACAGTTTAATGTGCCAGTGTTTTGTGTCCATGCTAGACACTCAGGGCTGGTCAGCTGAGTCTCCGAACTGCTTATCTAATGAGAGGCCATTGTAGCTGGCAAATAGCCGTTCGCCGCCGTAAGCGTTTAGCGTGAGGGGTTTAGTATGTGAATCGCGCGGACTTCGCACATCTATTCTGTTTAGACCTTTCTGGCACATACCTGGTTCTCTCTGGTGCAGATTTAATATGACACCCGCTAATTACGGGAATCCCTAGCAGTCATGGGGCCGTTCCCACAGTTATCTGCTAACTTACCACCGCGAGTGTAATTCCCTAAGCGGAAATAGACTATCCGGCAACATTTTAACAGTGTTTCGTATCCCTCCCTTTATTTTCTGCAGCAGTGTTACCACTCTCAATTCACGGATGCCCCAAGACGGGTTGGAAATCTCGCTCTTCTGCCTCTGCGGACAACTGTTCGTGGTCCCGCTCCGAATGACCCGAATCTTCAGTTTGATATTATTGATGAGGCCCTACTTTATTTCAAGCCCTTGATCTTCTTTCGTCAATTTGAGTTTAAGGTATAGTTGCCGTTGTTGACAGTATTTTTCCGATATTTCGAGTTGCATTGATTTTAGCGCCTTTAAAACGTTTAGTTCAACTTGACCAAATTTGCTCATGGGCCACTTGAGATCTGTCAGAAGACGCTTCTCATGCATCTCATTAGGCGCCATTTTCCACTACGCCCTTCACCGGGGCTATCACAATTTAAGTCATACTAGCTGACTTACTGACTAGTGTGGAGAATTCGAGTTGCCGCTTGCCACAATTAGGCAGATTGGTAATATTATTCAAAGGAATTTTAGGAGACATTTCACTGTCTTACATAAAACCCGCGCCTGAAAAGGTTTTCAGCTAAAGAGATGACCACTGTGTTATCATTCACACGTGGGTGCATGCTCTGATTCTGCCGTCCATAGCGTGACTAATAGAAACTCCCAGTATCTAAGATAACGCCTCGCCTCAGTAAACCCTCAAAGCTTCTTGACTTCCATTTCAGAGCGATGCCGACCGTGTTTTGGTATACTTAGTACTTTACATCTTGGAATGCCTTCGTAAACTCCAACGGGTAAGTTGTCCGCATTTGTTGCAATTCTAGTATGGTTTGTCCATTTTCTATCCTGAGGTTCCTGACTTGCCGCCCGTTCTTATTCCGCGTTTTCTTTTACCTTAATTCACGAACTTGTGGCTATTCACGTATGTTTTCTTGCAGTATTCATGTTGGTATACTCTTGGGTATTGCTGTCCCAACTCCATTTATTGTAATTTTGATTGGAAGTCCGCCTCCTCAGCGAGGGAATTCTAGAATCTAGTGACATACCTTAGGTGACGAAAACATATAGCTTAGATTTTTAAATTGCTTTTGGAAATAGTTTCCGTATTTCTACACAGGAAATCCGTTGCACATTGTGAACTGTGATAAGTTTGAAGGAACGTTTTTTAAACTATCCATCTATAGATGCCGCAATAGTTGTCATTAGCATATCTTATCATTTCTCCCCACAATATATTGAACCCTAGTGTAATACGAAAACTCTTGGAGCTAAAGAACTCAATGCCCTCGCGATAGCGCGCTTTGATCTGCCTGGCGACCCTGGATTCCCACGTGAACTAAATACTCTCTATGCGAGGCCCAGCATGTCTGAGGTGGACACGATGCGTAATTACCTGACTCAACTGCGCACCGAAATGGGGACACGCCTTCTAAAGGCGGTTTACCCCAATGAGACCGGTCCGCCCAGCAAGGTAAGTCATGCCGCGGTCGCCCCGTTTTTCTTATATCTCCCCCTAATGTCTTGGGGACGCAATTTTCATGTGGGTAGAGTACAGCAGACTGCAAGTCTGAACTTTTAAGCGTTATTTAAACCTCACTACCTATGTGCTGTCTTTCATCGGAATAAGATCTCGTGACTTTTTTCTTTTTAGTGGTGGCTGTGCTTCTCCAAACGCAAGTTCTTGGACAAGAGTCTTTCAGCTCCAGGAGCCCACTAAGTACCTTGGCTGGAACTTACGAGCGCAAACTCACTCATACGGCGTGCCGCTGTTCAGCGGTGTCCTTTTGGAATTTTCCCCATCCCTTAACGCTTTCAGACCTCAGTGACTTTTTTTTATGGTGACGCCACTCAGCCCTCTCTTCGTCATGCCTTTTTACCTCGATTGATAATCTCTGATCCTACACTAATACATACGCGTTCTTTATTTTTCGCGTGCTGCATTGTTATTCGTTTTTGTGATTCTCTACCCAAAAAATGCTACGACTTCGTTTCGAAGGTTCCGCCATTATGAAGCTATCTACTTAGCTCCGCAACATACGTCTTCGTGTTCGTCCGCACGAATACTGCAGACCACTGGCTAGACTGCAGTCTTGTTCTCGCGTCTAAATAACATTGTCACACTTTAGTAATTTAGCAAGCAGAAAAATCTGTTAAGTATTAAGTCGCCACTGCGGCCATGCCGCTTTTGAACTATTACCGACGTCTTATCAGTCTTCTGCCGCTTATTCACGCATTTGCATATGCTCCTTAGGGGGTGGGCACCCGAACGTTGGTGCCTGACTTACATACCAAATCAACCACTGAATCAGGTCTACTTAGAGTGACCTTAATCGAAATTAATAGTAAGTGGAGAGGTTGAGGGGACTTTGCGACCCACCCAATAACACCACAGCAACTGGACCAACACAGGTCTCGCGCGTCGGCGACACTCGAAGACTATCGACGTACCCGTAAGGTTAGTGGTGGATATCATGCACTGAACACTCGCGATGCTACTGTGTCCGTTACCGCTGATGATTTGGCCAATTTCGAGCACCGGCGTGAGCACCCTGAGCGTCCTCGCTTCCGACGATCAATCTACGACCACTATCTCTGAAGCGGAGTTTCCCCGCATGTCGCGTCGACAGAAGTCGCTGTGACTAAGACCTACTATCATTCCGCCACTGCGTCCGTCCTAGACCAGAATAGTCCCTCCCAACTGACGGCATCCGTCCTCGTGCCCGACGAGGTTGCATGCTGTGATCCGTCATGTTCAACTATGCCATTAACCAGTTTGTCGGAAGGGCTATTTACGGTTTTGACTGTGTCGAGTCCAAACCGAGGCGCGAGTCGACCGACGCCGAGTACCCTGGAGATGTCCTGTGAGCGTTAACTCTGATAGTATCGCGGCGGCTTTAGCCATAGTGAGAGCCTGGCCACTGCGACCATCAGGTCCAGTCCCGGACGGGAAAAAATACGTGGTGCGCCCAGTGGAGAGGATGTTGTATTCGGTAAAGAACTATTAGAGAAGAGCTTGGTAGGAGTTAGCGGTCGGAGAGCACGTCCACCACCGCGAGGGCAGCGTCTACGAGCGTCCGATTGAGACGGTCGTCCAGTACCTTCAGCGAGGTCATGTCCGAGTCAGCCACGGAGATGATTGACCAGTTCGGACAGCCGGCATTGGCCGATAACCAGACTGCAATTGGTGCGAGCGTACAAATAGTCGCGAGGAGTTCAGCGTTGCAACATGCGCCCCGAATTTGGCCGCTACAATAGCTTACAGATTGGTTTTCCAAGTAAATAATGATTTGCCAGTCGAGTGGCTGCTGCGAGGACCGAGTCGCATCTCTGACTAGGAGAAAGCACACCCGATGAGAAATGGCGTTAAACTCGAGGGAGGCAGCCTCAGGTATCACGGGACCTCGTTGCTACTAAACAAACAAGACTCGACCCGCAGCATCGCTGCAAGCGTTTCAAGGTACCTACGGGCTAGCCCCTATCGAATGTCACCTGGACCCACGTGCACCTGGAACTTGCTTGAGTCCTCAGGCACGGTTGTGGGTGCTGGGCTGTGCGTGGGGAGTACTACCCGTGAAATCATTAGACAGCTGGGTTAGGTATGACCACAGTAGTTACGAATGCAGGTAGTAGCGCAAGGTACGCAGGCAGATGTCCGCACTAACTGCTTAAGTCGTGTAGTCAACATACGTCTTTATTCTATCTTTCGATTAGGTACCCCCAGCCACCCCTGAAAACCATCCAATGACCGGTTTGCATGCGTACGATTGGAGAGGCAATTTGCCGACATTTTGTCGTTCCCGTCTACCACCTAGCACCGGCAGCCGACTACTGGTAAAGAGGCCATCGTGTAACTGCAAGAATTTGCTGGACATTATTACTTGTTAGTCGTGTCTGGTGACTGAATTGACCAAAACGAGCCCGGGGCAGACCTCGAGTAGTCCTACGAGAACATATACGGCTAGGACAAAACAACGACCTCCATTTCGTCGGATAGACGCAAGGCGATAGGACTCCCAGTGCACGGCCTTTTGAACTACCCGGGATGGGATTCGGCCTTCATAAACCCCGAAGGCTCTCGTCAGTCGCGAATTTGAAGCAAGGTAGTAAAACCAACGCCCCGGCCGAGATGTCACGCGCAACACGTAAAGCACGTTTTAAGAGCAGGGAGGGGATCAGTAGATCCGCACGACAAAGAGCGACTTAATGTCGTCATAAAGGACTGTATACTGGTAAGTCAAATCCAGGAAGGCAATTTACAATTAAATAATGAAGGCTGTACATGTGTTAGCGTTTCATGTCACCGAGGTCCTCTATCGCGTCCATTGGTATCTAAAAGTTAAAACAGCGAATAGATCATCCTTGTTTGGTTGAGCTTAGATAAGTCTAACAAAAGACCGGCACTCACCTCAGGCCACTTATCCGGAATAAGATCTAGCAGATCATCCTTCACATCACCCTGAATGACAATTTCACCGCTATTACTTGTTGCGGAGCTGCCAGTGGCGAACTTTTGACCGAAAAATTTGGACGCGACCTTCAAATCAATGCCTTTTAACAAAGAAAGAAAAAATGAAATGCCAACATTCAGCTTGAAGTTAGGAAATAAACATGACAGTTGGGAGAACACTTAGATATCGAGCGTCTCTGCAGGCGAAAATGCAGATGGAAAGGCCTTGTTTCGCACATGACTTCACAGCAACTGTATGCAGTTCAAGAACTGCGCTCTGTCTACGCGTATACATAGGCGTTACCAGACACGAACACGTAAACACTTTAGGGCTTAGTTTTTGGACCGTCACGATACAGATGATAGCTTCTTTAGCTCTTAGTTTCAACGACGTCCAATCACTTTGAAATATACGATGAAGGATCTCTGAAAGGGCGAACAAGTTCCCATACACGGGCTAGTTTCCACATTTTTTAACGGCACCGCGGAGGTTCACAGTGAGTAAATTGGTTATGCAACTTGTTTGAAAGCCGAAAGATGGACGCAAAAGCTTTCTCAAGAATGGAGAAATCCCCTCGTGCAGAATCCGGCAAGGGAAAATTGTGGTTGAAAACACTTTAAAACCGGAATGGCTATAACTGAGGACGCACTCTCATTTTACTGGAGACGGCAGAGGTAGACCACTAGACTTACGACTCGAAATAGACATTGAGAACCTTTAATTACGCAAAGTAGCAGAAAACGTTGATGAGGTAAATTCCGCCGACGAAGCTCTCTCATTTTTTTAGCGAATTTCGCTGTTGAAGATGCGCTTGCTCCAACAAACTGCAAGCTCGTTATGTCCACCTGAATTTAGAACATTGTGCAATCTAAGAAACAGTAACGCGACGCTCGTGGGTATAGACCTCCCGAAGCCAGGCTTTCAATTATTGTTCCCGTTTATTACTGTAGTGGCAGGGAGGAATTTTCCCTACCTGTTATGGAACTGGAACTACGTACCACTGTCACACCAAAACCCCGCCCCAGAAGGCCCGGGAGTGGAGCGTGGGAATTTCGGTCATCGAGAATCAAGTCGAGCGCTCTACCACAGATCACCGCCCTGTCAGTGGCGACTATAAACACCGATTCACGTGCAGGTGGAATTCCGCCCATCCGACTGCTCCTTCAGTCTTGCTGGCTGACTGACGACAGTCGATATGCCTTGGACTTGTGGTGCTCGCCTCCAACGGACTGGCTGCACGGGTTCTTAATAAACCTCTAAGGCAGGGAAGGAACAACGTGCTTCTTCATGCAATCCGACTGACCGAAAGCCACTTCCACAATGATCCTAAGCATCCCAGAATCTGGTGCCGTAAAAATTGACCACAAGGATTCCCGGTACGCGCTACCTTTGGTTGAACTTTTTGCCAGAAGGGACGTATAATGGTGAAATTGACCAGCGAGTGGACAAGATAGGCGTGTCCGGCAACAAGGAGAGAACGGCCTGCAGGTTAAGTGGAGGGTGTGCGAGAATTCCATCGAAGACGGTCCTATGCGCACGTCCAGATATACACGGTCTGAAAGCAGTTGATAAGTGGTGCTCGCGCTCCGTTATGCGAAGTCATTTCTACGATCGCATTTATAACGAACGACGGTTAACTGTGTCATCTTGCTAGCCCACGTGCGGGTGGAATCCTTCTGGATGTAATCTCGTCCGAATTCGGCCCTAGCTGACAGATTAATCGATGTGGCAAGCTGAAAACACCGCCAGAACTGACCTCGGACGCACCTCTGATCCTGCGCTCTGTCCAGCTAGTGTACTAGGTGATTCAACTCCCGGCAGTCTGCCTCGCCCAAACTGCAATGAAGGGCGATCACTCGGGACGTATTGAGCCTCCTGTATGAGGACGACTGAATCAGTCACAAATCCCGCCACCTAAACAAGTAGTAAATACACGCGGATACCAGTGAGGAGTGAAGTGTCGCTATGACTCCACAGACACTGTGAAAGACTCGCAGAAACCCTACGAGGAGCAACGACTGGGGTTTTTATATCGCTCTTAATGTCCCCGCCGACAAGATCGTCCAGAGATATCCGAAGTCGCATACTTATTCCAGTTCAAGTTTTCTTCTGATCAGAGATGCTCTGACATTCATGGCGCCAACGGGACAAACGACTGATTTAGTCACTTCAGTAGATCATCGAAGCTGGATGCTAACACGGCCGTATCGTCAGCAAGGTAGAGGTCGGCTGGAAGGCGTGCTAACACGGTGAAAATTGCGCAAGGTCCTTCCGATGAGCCATTCAACGAAGCGGTGAAACACAGATCTCTATTGCAAGTAACGCAGCTACACAGTACGCCGATAGAAATCATCACTGTGACCGGACCCTGCTATCGTTCCACAGCTGCATGCGTTCTAAACCAAGTATGCGGAAAAACATTCATATCGCCAAATACTGACTCGGTGCAGCCGACTACTACTAGTTAGGCAAGCACATTTTAGGGTTTTCAAGATTCGACAACGTTTAATGCTTGTTCCACTAAAGCCACTATTTCACCCCAATAGCTCATGCTGCCGTTCAACAACATTCTGACGTCGTTTTCAAAAGTTAAAGGGATTAGTCGTTGCGAGATGTAGCTCGAGTCGCCTGAACAGAAAACTGTCGGGTTCCTGGGCTGACGTGGTTATGGCAGTGCCAATGATTGAGTCTGAATATTCCTTCGGCTTCCTCCCTTCCTTCCTTGGACCGAAGACCGCTTGCGGCAACCCTCTCTTGTGGCTCGGCTTGTCGTAACGAGGCATCCTTGACAAAGACGGTAGATGAAGCCTCGAACGTAGCCAGACAAAACATGCACTGACAAGTAAGCGTAGTTAGATGCAACAAAAGAAGTGCCAAAGTAGCGAGGAGGTAGTCGGGCTGCCTGGCCGCACAGCCATCAGTGAGAATACTATATCAGCATTTTATCTGCAATGCTTTGAACACGTGTTGATGGCAAACGGCCGTTTCTCATTAGTGAAGCTGAGATGCTTTTCAGAATTTTCACATCTACAACTAAGTCCAATGGCGACATAGCTGCCTCGAGAATCGTCGACTCAGTGCTGACACTGCAGTCACCGGCCAAGATTAGCCGATGACGGGAGACTGTTAACCATATCTTACATATGCTCGTCAGTCGGCAGTCAAAGTTCGGATGTAGACACAATCGACAGCTGTTAATAAAATCCAACTTCAGCTGTGCACACGGCAGCCGATGAAAAGAAAATTTTGGGCAGGAAATACTTGGGAGAGGGAGGAAGATTGTCACACCGTGTCTACTGGAGGTGTCGTGGGGAGAGCAGTGATATGGTGTGAAAGAATTCACCGAGGAATATTACTTTTCTGAAGGTCTACGTCTGATATTCGGACTAAGGACAGATAGTCGACATCTATGTTTGTCTGGTGGAGACCGCGCACGGCTCACAGTAGAACATGTGCACATCAAAGACCGAGTGCTCGCTGTCGCCTCACAGAATAACTAAACCAAACAATGGTCACATTGGTTTTGGTTTCATTGTTTAAATTAAGCACGTCGGGATAACTGCCTAGATAACTTGTCGTCTCAGACCAAAACTACGGAGGGTCTGACTACATCTGTTCCAGTAGAAAAAAGTTAAGATCAGGAGGAATACGCAAACTCTAAAGCTTGACAAACAAAAATAGGCCTAAATCAAAAAGAACTGCGTAAAACCACTGCCCGCAGGCATATCAACATCGAAGTGACACCGGTTAAATATCGAAACGCAGCTAGGGTATTACTTTTGGAGCTAGTGAACTATGTGAAGTGAACTAAATCGCAGACGCGTTAGCCGAGACGCTTAGCTGACATGGGGCATGAAGAAAAAAACTGAAGGTTTAAGAACATACCAAACGTGTCCAAGCCAATGACACTAGTGGTAAATTTGTTTTTCCCCCTTGAAGCTCGAAATAGTGTGATTTTCTGCTGTACCGGTTTCTTGACCCCAGAGCCTTTGCCACCGCGTACTTGACGAGACTTCTTCTTAGTTTCGGTATCTTCCGTAACTAGATACACACAGTGTAAATTCGCATAAATCAAGAACCTGTGCTCAACTGCTCGAATACCTCAGGAAGATTCTTTTCCAACCACTGCTTGCATTTTTCGGGGCAGTGCGAAAATTCACAATATTCAATGGGCATCGAACATTCTACATGTACGACTAGAAAAGCAAGGTAAGTTACCTCCACAGTATTGAACGTTTAACGGATATTCAACGTCTGGGTGTGGCAGAACGCGAGGGCAATACTCGTAAGTCTCGCTGCGTTTTGACATGCCCGAAAACCCAGAACCAATAACATTCAAAACACAGCTCAAACACCAGAATGTTATTCCACTCAGGCAATAACGTCCCCTCTTCTCGCTATGCATGCCTGATCGACGTGGTCGAAATCCGATATTTCAGCAGATCCGATAGCTGGTTTAGCAGTATGTCCACTTTCTAGAACGGGCGTGTTTGGGCCATTTTGTCCTTCTTCCTACAATCAATGGTATAGGAATATGGAACGAGACGAAAGTTTATTAACCTATCTGTCAGTGGAAAGCGTAAGAGGACGTAAGGAAAAGGTGATAACGGAACCGAAAGGGGATCACGGTGTACTGTCCTAGTTCGGATACGTCAATTGTTGGGAAGCCGCTTTGGCGGGATTGGACTGCTTGTCGGTATCACGGATGCTGACCACCTTCAGCGTATCTGTGAAATTGGAAAACACAAGTCAATGACAGAAAATTTGAATTAATAATAATAATATTAATAATAATTGTTCTTCAACACCCGTAGGTGTCTTTTCATTGCAAGTAAAAATAACTTTTACATTAATTTTAGAACAGGTATACAGGATCTATACAATGCTTAATTCATAGTAATTGAATAAGTAGCCTGTTAAAAAGAATGATAAGCGAGGAGTGAAAAACTAACATATAAACGAAATGAGTATGACTCGAATAACACTATACGAGAAAAACTGTCGATCCTGAGTGTATAAAAAGCAGGCAGGACCGGCCTGCATGTAACAGTGTATAATGGATTTTATGAAGGGGTAAGCAGGAGGGTCAGGCAAGACTGACCTGTTAGTGGTATGGGGTAAAAGGTTTGAAACGGGTATCATAATACAGAATTCATATGCCTGATGAGGCCATTCATGTCAAAATGGAGAGCATAAAACCAGTCTCGAGGCGATAGGTACACAGATCCGATCGGTTACAGTCTAACTGAGTCCAGCCGAGGAGGGGGCAAGGGAGATGCGACCAGACTACTAGTATATGGGGAATACAGAGGGTTTCGCCAAGAGCGTCGATAGAGCGCATTCTGTGAGGAGCACGATGCATGGACTGAGAAATTGGAAAAATTAACATTTCTGATGAGGGATCCTAAGAAGCGATACTACGCACAAAAGAACGAAATGTGAGCGGATACAGAAATTTAATGGCGGCGTCCTAAATTTCCGGTGGCCCTTTCTCAGTGTCATAGAAAGAGTTGTATAGGAAGGATGAGGAAAATAAAAGTTAAATCGAGTCAGTATTCAGATAAATACGTAGCCTTCTCTAAAAGGTCTGTAGATTTTCTGAAGATCTTATATTTATTGGAAGGTTATTCCAGAGGAAAGTATATGTGGAAGCGAAAAAAGAGAGCGCTTAGAGGTGGAGGAAGCTGGAGGAGGTATAATCAAGGCAGAGTTGCGAAGATTGTATGGGCGACTACTAGGGGTAAGTGCTGAAATCCGAGGAAGATTTGAACTATTATTAATGCGAAAGAGGAGACAGAAGCCTGCTCCTTGTCTTCGAACCCATAAAAACTTTCGGTTAGTTAGCTGGCATCTATCTGAGTAGGAGATATTTGAATGTTCTCTGTCTAAAAGTTTTCTAGTAAAACGTCTTTGCACATTTTCAATTTTTAAACGACTAGCCTCATTCATCAAACCAAATAATGCGCAACCATACTCGAGAATGGGAAGTACAAACATACGATAGAGTCTTAATTTAATTTCAGGAAGACAGAAGTTGTAAGAAATAAAGCCACATATCTGGGCAGCTTTGGCTGTAACTCTGTCAGCGTGTGACGAGAGATGGAGATTATTAGTGTAGCTTAAACCCAAATCTTTGATGGTGGTACATTCAGTCATAGGCGTGCCTTGAAAGACCATTGGTTGGAGTAGCCTGTCATGTCCCAAACACATATAGCGACATATCCTCTTATCCGCAGCTTAGTACGGGGGATTTTCTGATAGAGATGTTCTGCAATCATTTGACATTCGCCTTAACTGTCTCATGTATATTTTCTGATGACGCCTCGCTGTTATGCACATGCGTGTCTCGCTCCACCCGAACTTCATGTTTAATGGTATCGTACGGGTTATCGTTTTACCCAGGAAAGTATGTTGGACTTTGTTATACCTTACGAATACACTCCTAAAAACCCGGCCACGGTTGGCACTTGACGCCTGTGGTTAAAAATTGTTTTCCTACACAATGAACCAGTTGTGGTGGTTGGCGACGGTCATCAGCCTCAATTAAATATTGACAGTCAGGACGTAGATGTGCCTTGAAGTCTTAAGGGTCCGGTCATATCACGCTCCGAAGACCTCAGCGTCTTGGAGATCTGTGTCCTGATTGCCTCAAAAGGACACAAAACGACAGGGATTTTCCTCCGAAATTTTAAAACAACAAATATTTGAATGCGCACTTATAAAATGTATGTTGAACCTGGCCTGGAATGCTGTTCGCTTGTATTTAACCTCCTGCGTGCTGCTGAACCCGTCCAGCATTGTACGAAAAGAGCTTTAACTCAAGCACACCGAAATTTGACCTACAAGCCTTGGGCCCTTGTGGCTTCTTCGGTTAAAAAGGGGACTATCGCTAACGCAAAAGCATTTTCACAGTCGTACTTCTACTTGATCTTAAGACACCTTGACCACTCCCGATGTAACAATCGCCGCAAAGTCTGTTTACCTTTTCCCTTGGCAGGTACCGTTAAATAACGTTTGTTTTTTTGTGAACAAAATTACCATCTGGAACAAGCTACCTAGGGAAGTGAAAATTCCGCAAAATTACTCTTTGTTCAATGGAGCTTTCGCCCATTTATTGCATTCACGAAAACCCCAAAACTTTTTGGGTATGGAGTCTACCGAATAAATTTTACGTATTGATTGGGTTCGTTGTCATTGACCCCTCTGCTCGGACTCATTCTGTGAGAAATGATACTGACTATAGAGTCTGCAACACTACGGACAATTTCTTCAGCCGGTAGCGAGCACCTCATACCCCATCCGCTTTGTTTGATACTCGGGCCCCAATTCGATGAAAAGGAATAGAGATTGAAAATATCTGATGCAAAGCTTACCAGTCTTTTTCTGAACTAGCGTCATTTTTTCTCTTACACCATCCAAATTATTCAAAAAACCTCAAACTCTTTTAAACTACGCAGAAGTTTTTTTTACTGCTAGTCCAATCCGTACTGTACAGTACGGATACGTATCATTCGCTGACAATGCCCGTAAACTGACATTAAATGCAATCATTATTATTGTTATTGCCTGCTTTTATTCCACTTTTACTGGGCCCAAAAAGTGAGAAGCAACGAAAATCCAAAAATGACCAAGTGGCCGCTGATGTAGAAAATAACCAGAGCAATTTTTGTAGAGCGTTCCGTGAATGCAAGAAGACACTGACACTTCTTCTGAAAACCATACCGAAATTAAGCATGAACGATGTGTAGAAATGGCGTATTTTTGTGAATGAATGCCGCACTTATAAAATCACCTTCGAATGGGGGCGGGAAAAGCAACACGACCGATTTCTCTTTAAAGTTAATCTTGTTAGATGAATGCCTTGGCTCTTTAGGTACGTTTTTACACTAGAAACAATGCAAATGCCATCATGCTTTCTGAATGCCTTTTCTATATAATCCGACAGTAACTTTAAAAACCTCGTTTTCACCTGTGCGAAAGTCACCACAAAATGCAGTCAAACTTATTTTACCATCATTTTGTCTGAACTGAAATTCTGCCTTTCGTTTGTGTGACATTGGTCATTAGCGCAAGTACAGGGAAAATAAAAGACATGTATAATTTTCTGAATGCCATATGAAGAGCTGCAGTGACGCGTCTTCGCTGTCGTTTCAGGATAAGGATTTCGCTGTTCTGTTGCTCACTATGTGATCAACGCAGACTAAAGATTGAACTTGGGCGCAATTTAACTGACAGCCCACACATTTGAGGCGTGAGGTTATATTAGAACATGTACGGAACGCTGTCCTCGCCCGTACATTATCTTGCAAATAAAAATGTGATCGTCGTCTTTTGTCTATAACACGCAATGCAGGGCTTATAAGACTTCATTCTTTTCGGATGAGGTCAGTGTTTCAGACATTTCACTAGTTGCATGCTCCGAGGCTGCAGTTTCTCGAGACATATTTGCCCTTTGCAAACCACGGCTTTGATACCTGTATGCAATATCCTGAATGCAATGAACGAAGTTGCCGTAAAATTTCACAAAAAGATATTCATCAAGTGCTATAAATGCCCAGGAATAATACCCAGTCTTTCCGAAGTATTCTTCTGCATGACGCAATAATTTCAAATCGTTCTCTCTCTGGGTACCGAAATCGTCTTATGAAAGTATTATGGGGAGTTGATTCTCTTTCAGGTAATGTGACCTCATTCTTTGGAAAAGCATAAAGAACGGCACATTTCTGTACACTGAAATCAGTCAACCGTCACTCAAACCAGGTGTATGGTAGGCACTTATTCTTTTAAAGAATCGTCAGTATATCCATGCTTCTTATAAGTTGCCAGAGGCTAGCTTAACGGTCGAGCAAAATGTTGCCGCTGTCTTTTAGGTAAACGACGTCGGTCAATCAATTACTCAGTGTATTTGGGGTAGGTGACTGAAGCCCTTGAAGAATTCATTTATACCATACAGGTCGCCATTAGGACAAAGACGTTGCAAACACTTTAGAGGCGGTTTTAGGATTAGGGCCGTTTAAGAGAGACAATCAAAAAGGAAGCCTTAAATAGGTGAATAATTTGCGAAATAAACAAGAACAATACATTCAGGGCGGTTACGGCAGCACGTTCAGCGGAGTGTCAGAATTCATCTAAACAAAATGAATTACTCAGACCGGATTAGTAGCGTTTGAACGGCTACAACACTGCCTCAGTAGGTGGTGTCGGGGTGTTCCGTTTGGCCTCTTGAACATACTCATGATATATGTCCATAAAGCATTCCACTGATGAGGAACACTCCGCGAGGAAGCTGGAATGTTGGTTGGTGTGGCC